TAGCATACGTGTAGTATAGGAATAATCCTACACCGTATCGGTTGTCGACTGTGCAACTAATCGAGGAAGCGTACGGGTAACCGTACTCGGCGACCGGAACGTGAGACGGCAGTCTCGTTCGCGTCGCGTGAGCCTGCAATCTCATCCGAGGTCAGAGGCGGCGTGGTCTGCTGATCTGGACGTGAGACTATCGTCTCGTCCGTAGACGGTGCAGATGACGCGTGCTGTTGACCGGGACGTGAGAATGAGGTCTCAGATGCATCTAGCGTGGGACCTGAAGATTTAAGGATCCCGCTAGGTTTAATAGGTCTAGCATTGAATCTCAGGTTACCAGATAGGGCACTGTCATCGACGTGTGCTGGTTTGAGACGATCAACGCTGACGATCTCGACGCGTCCATATCGATCAACCTTGAAGGTCTTTTCGTGACGAGCGATCACGTGAAAAGGGCCTTCGTAAGGTTGTTGCCAAGGTTTGCGTACCGAATCTACTCGTACAAAAACATATGAACAGGTAGATAACCCTCGAGAGAGAGCGACCTGTCGATGTTGTATTCGAGTTGACACCGGAGACAGCGTTCACATAAATGCAGACAGTCGACGGACGTTGTCTGATTTACCGAAATTAGGTCTGCTCCGTGGTGTGAAGGATTCTCCGGGCAGACGCAATGTCGTGCCGTATACCATTTCAGCGGCGGAACATTGTATATCTGCCTTCAAGCTCGTTCGAATACCTAAGAGGACGAGCGATAAGGTTTCGTACCAGTTGTCGTTCTCGTGTGCTCGTAGAGCACTTTTAAGTTGGCAATGAAACCGTTCAACTTAACCATTTGGTGCTGGGTGGTAGACGGATATGCTTATGCGTATGCATTCCGTACCAAGCAGCCGGGTCAGCGAGGAGAATCGTTAACAGGGTAACATTTCTCGAATAAAGCGTGGAATTCATCATCACGCGAATAAAAAGTGACAAGGATTCGGTACACATACGTGTGAGTCTATTATATTAATACTATTCTTATCGTTATCCGTCATGTCGCGTATATTATATATTAAAAATTAATATGAAAATATACGACAGACGTGGATAGATAAATCATAGACTCACCGAATTGGCTTCTTTGGAAGATTTGATCAGAAGTTGAGGCGTGTTCCAAAATACGGGTCACCAAATGTAGTCGAATTGGGATTACCAATTGTAGCGTGGCGTCGAGTTGAGATTAACTATGAACACCGCTACCAAGATATACGTGCCAAATAGATCAGAAGGCGTAAGAAGCTCGTTCCAAATGACTCCATAAAATCCCCGAGAAGCCGAATACCAGAAGGCAATTAATGGACCAAGTCGATGTTTATTTGCTGGCGATCTCGTGGCATCGAAAGGATACCGAGATCGTGCCAGGATACAATCTTGGTTACAGAACGTAACCGAATTCGCGCGAAGTTACAATCAAAGAGTAAGTAAGTGAATGGAAGAACAAAATAGCTGTCATTAGCACAGTCAAACAAAAGCACATTAAAACAAACACTGGTACAGTTGGTTATAATAATAATTGTTTTTATTAAACCAATGGTGCTCTCGTGATAAACGTGAGTCACTACACTATACAAATGAGATTTCTCATTGCTTCATATTCCATACATAAAAACCCAGGTAATCATTTAATGTTCATTAGTTAGTAGATGTTACTTTAACTCCACTGTTTTAAATCTAGCATCCCTCCCTATGGTCCTGAAGACACTAATCTTGGGATTACTATGATTTTGTGAATAGGTGATATAAAGAGATAACTTGGTTTTGTATCTCATCGCTTGAAGACCGATTTGCTTTGAATTTCTTATAAGAGCGAGAGTTCCATCTACAACTTAGGTTCACCATTATGTCTACGTATGAAATAATAAAGATTTCACTGCACGTTCTTGTATAGAAGAGAATATTCAAAATCTCATCATTTGGCAATCTAAAATCAGTCTTTAATCAGGAAGAATATATTCACAGTATTCATTCTTCAAATTGTTTAGCATACCATATCCAAGTTCGTGGAGTTAATTTACCCAAAAATGAAACAGAAGCATTCATGAATTGTCACTGTAAACAAATGACGTTTCATAAGAATATGTAGTCATTTCACAGGGAATATCCGTCTCACAGCTATGAACAGATACTTTCAGATGGTAACTGAAAATTTTATCTTTCGCGTGAACACAATTGCCGTTCTAGGATGAGAAAGCCGCTTTCAAAAATGCTCCGTTGGTGTCCCATATAAACCCTTATCCAATCATACGCTTCACTACATGTACTGACGTATTAAAAACATCCGTCGAGCTAGTTTTAGAACAGCAGGTGAGCGGTAATACCACACAAGTAACATTTCGCTCGGAAAGGTAAGACTCAACGGGAACAAAACGTAGTACAGTAATACAAGAGTTTCTGCCTACTTTTTGACAAGCATTCCAACCACCTACTACAAGATCTTGGGTACACTGGTTTGTTTTGTTGCAAGTCGTTGTACTATTTATTCAACAGTTCATCTTAACAGAACTCATCAAGTGGAACTAGACAGTTTGACCGTACATAGCAGCTTAATCGGCATACACTTAAAAAAAGAGTACAAATGTAAAAATGAATAAGTTGTTAGAAGTGATTGCGTATAATCCATCAAACCAATTAATACTCATCATGCAGGATTTATACAATTCACTCAAAACCATACTTAGTCTATTATCTTATGTTATATGTAGAACTTAAATTTTTGTCATACCGCGTACAACTTGAGCACTAGAACGCTTGAACCCTCCAAGTCGCAATTTTGAAGACATAAGACGAGAGGAGAGGAATCTTATTCCAACCAGTGTCAAATATCGTACATAACACTCAGGTATTGATACTTTTTAGTAAAAACAGAATCATCATTACAATAATCCAATTCGCATGCAGTAGCTTTTAGTATTTGTCCAATTGACAAGCTACATACCAGAATTCTGGAACGTTTTTCCAAACGACGATTGGATGGAATGACTTCGGCTCTTTTAGAGCCTCCTTGAGTTCACTGAGAGACATCCTCACGCCTCATAAGTGGCCAGCACGGAAAAGCTCGAAATGACAAAAGCCTGAAAATAATCGACATCTACTGTAGAGTAACTATAATAATAATTTACTCACGGTAAGTACTAATCCATCCTATCCCATCTCTTTCCATTCAAACAGCAACATAGGAACTAATTATTTTATTGATGATTAATCATCTGTTAGTTGTAAAAGTAGCAATGTTCGAAATCGTGTCATCAATCTACGTAGTAGTAGCAGTAGCATTAAATATCAAGGACTTATACATCAATTAAGAGAACGAAATATCATTAGTTCGACTAATAAGCACTAACAACACTCGACTCTACACCCTTCACCTATTCTAAGAGAAGAGACCTACGTTGGCTATCTACTATAAACCCATAAGATAAGACCGTAAAAACTTTAATTATTCAGTCATTATTACTAATTACTTAGTAATTTGCTGTCTTTCGATAAAATAAGGCTATAAGCATATGACAAAAAACATCAAAATAAAATGTTCCGCTCCTGTTAATTTTCTTGATTTATCCACATTCATAAAATGAATGATTGTATTGAACATGAAAAAACTAGGCAAAATGTACAAGGTAGCAGAATTTTCTATAAATAATCAAATGCGATTTTCCGTTTTTTACTTAAAAAAAAACCTGTCTAAACGATCAAACGAATGAAACAAAACTTCTTAAAAAAAAAGAAAAAGTCACTTAACAATTCATACTATGCACTCGATCATAACGACAACTCTCATTTCACCAATCTCCACAACGAAATAAATAAATAATTACCACCCATGTGTTTGTGACCGAAATCTTATATATGAAATACTCTTAGCTTGTATACAGAAATTAAGATGAAAGTGTACTTAGAGAACCACATAAAAAATGTTAACTAATATCAAAGTCGATCTATCTTACACACTAAATGATTATACGATACTAAGAACAAATTACCAGTCTGCTGATCTTTAACTCCTGAACACAGTGGGGTTGATACATAACCTCCAACTTTTGAGGGTTGCAGTTCAGGATCTTTGGTACTGTCTGCACTAAGATCCAACTGACTTCTTTGAGATCTGGAATGGACGGCTGATTTAATATTCGTTCGTATGATATTATGATAAAAAGTGTGAAAAGGTTATTTTTAAATACTAATGAACAGTGAACAAAGATAACATTTTCTGCTCTTCAGTTACGTAAAAGATGGAGAAATCAAGTCTTAGTCGGAAAATTTATTAGACAAGCGAAAAAATTAGTTATTCAGTTGTTGCATATACATTTATTGGCAACGACTTTGTAAAAAAATTAATAAAGTCGTTTACCAAAATCTGCAGTCTAAAAACCAGAGACTACATTGAACAGCAGAAAGTAATTAACGGCATGTAGCGCGTGTAGGTTTGGAGGCTAAAAATTAGTTTGATATTGTGCAAAATAAATTACAATAATGGTATCACGAGTGGTTTTTAGCGAAATGGACATCCTCATTAATCAGGAATTAGACAAATCGGTTTGAAAATTATCGCATACACCTACATACTTTTCAAGGAGAAAATAATACATAGAATAACAATGAATATTTGAATAATCTCCAAAATAATAAAGAATCGAGAAATACAGTGTACATTAACCAGCATTTCCCTACTACTACGTTGATAAGTTTATATCTCTCAGAAATTCTTTTTGATCTCATACCCTTTGAGTTGAATACATTTCACTGAAAAAACAAAAACACTCACAATTAATGAAGGGACATTGTCTAGGTAAATTAGTTCTACCAACTGAGTTAAACCATGTGGAAACATGATGTACATGTCCACCATGACTGCATAGTGGACACACTAACACAAGTCCTTTGCAGCTATTTCGGCATACAGTACAAATTAACAATCTCTGCGGTTTCTGAGGGCCTGTAGTAGATTGCTGATTCTCCAAATTCACCTCCCATTGACAATGTGTACACTGTGCAGACTTAAGAGATCCATTGGAGTGTTTAGGAACTAAGTTAGAACTGCATCGCATGTCTGGACATGAAAGTAGAATCATAGCATTTGTTTGAACGTAAGGCCATATGTGGGATAATGAATTTGTACGAATATTGTACGACCAAGATCGAAGAAGATGAGCGTGTAAAATGTATTCGCGTAGAGAGTAAATAATGCTAGCGTAAACATAAATGTAGTGATCGAATGAAAACAAATCCTTTGGATGCACAAATCTAAAACATACAAGGATTAGGGAAATAATAATTAAATATTTACTAGCTCAAAGATAAAATAATATTGAATTTCAAAGAAGTGAAATGTGTTTAATAGAAATAAAAAACCGTATCTCTAAAGTTTGATGAATTTATCATGATAAAGTAAGCTACCTCAAGATTGAAGAAACTCAGTAGTTATAATGTTGATTGCATTGGATTAAATCAAAAGGAATTTATAAACGGTCTAAAAAGTAAATTATACTGATAAATATCACGAAATTTAGAGCTGATGATGACAGATATATCATACTACAGCATCAAGACGGCATCATCAGCCAAGTAGGTTGAGGATGTAATGATTTTGTATACGTCTATGTGGATTTATCCTTAATCAAACATATAACAATGGTAATAATAATAACACTCCAGGCAACATTTTTATCATCTTAATAATTCTATGCTTCTCAGAAATAATTAAACGTGTCCTCGTTAATTATATTAACCGAATTGTATATCTTTATATATGAGCTGTCTGTAAGTCTGTACATACTTACTTATCTGATAATCCAAATAACGCACATTTACTGTTCTTACTGTATGATTGCTTCTACGAACGCACCAAATATATGTATCTCAAGCACACTCGTTTTTCAATTTCTAGCGTCGCGTAGTTATAAACGTGTTGAGTCTAAGAATATATCCGAAAAGACACAAAGGGTGGAAAATCCAAGAAGTGATACCGATCTAGGAAGTCATTGGCTTTCGTTTTGACTCCACTGAAATTCTTGGCGATATCATCCCGCTTTACTGAAACGACTTAGCGAAATGGCAAAATTTGTGACAAATCCTAGATTTGATGTCTGACTGATTTCCGTTACAATCACATGTACTCAAAAAATCCAGCTGAAGGAGAAAATGACTCATATCAAGTACCAAATCAATAGGAAAGTCCAATTCTTAAGTACAAGGTGGATTGATAGAGGATCATATGGAAAACTTTGAGGAAAAAATAGCAAGCATAATACCATTATGTTTAATCTACAAGAACAACCAACCTTGATTGATAAGCACAAATTGAATTGATCGATAATTCCTTTGGAGGAAGTTGTTCTATTGGACAACCGTTCATATTTTCGTTTGACTGGCCAGATACCAAACTAAATTCACTCTGTGTTTCATCAGAGTTATCTAAGGTAAATGACACTTGTTGTTCTAGTGAAGAACTGGCAACTGTATTGCATCCTAAAAGATTTATTGTCTTTTCTGACTCATTCATGTGATATAATGAATATGTCTCCAAAAAGTTGTTCACAGATGACAGTGAGGTAATAGCTAGTATAAAAAGTAACATTTTCCTATCAGATTATATCAAATAACCATTAAAATAAAAATATTGTTTGAGTGTACAAATGACTTGATAATGGTGTTCGATTAATTAAAGATCCATAATTTACTGTTCATAGAGAGATAGGTGAAGAGGGACATTTTATTTAATTTTGGCTTACAAAATTCGCAAATCATAAATAAAAACAAGAGCACACCCATTGGCTAACAATGAAAATGGTATAACTTCTCATCAGGGATACGCACCCAGATATAGAAAGGTATTTAACATGTATAGTTTGTCTCAGACAATCACTAAATATTACTTATGAAAACCATTAAATGTGTTGACACAAGAGGGTTATTTCATGGATCTGCTGAAGCTAAAGTGATAGATGCATTGAAATTTATTCACTGAAAACGGATATTTGGCTGAATAGCTCGTTAATATATTGATATATGTAACAGACTAACATTGTCATCAATTATATTGCTGAAACAATCGGTATACTCTGTTGAGGAAAATTACATGAAAAGTGGTAAGAAGAAAAGGAGTTGATATAAAACTACTAGTAACTGCATTGCAACAAATCGTACTACGGACTAGACAAGGCAATGACCAGCATCAAGTATTTACCATCAACTTTAGTGTTGAACAAAAACACAGAGATAATATAATTTTGTCGCATTACTGACGCTCGTTTTGAGGTTCTTTAAAATATGTAAAGAAATAATATGTACAACAAATGCTAGTTTTATATTTGTGGATTAAACTTCCCAAGCAAATGCCTCTTTGACTTTGGGGTTATTCAATTCTAGTCTGCCCGATTTCTTCATTAATCAAATAAGTTCTAGTTAACATGTATGAGAAGCCTAGAATTATTGTTAGTCAATGCAATTTCAGTATCATTGGAGTATCATCCAAATGTTATTAGTATTTCTATTATCAGATTATTAGATTTAACAGTTACCTAGACCATTCCTCTTAAAACGTCTGTAGGATCTACCTCTACAAAATATCCCGGTAATATCGGCATAACACTGCACAACTTACTGTTCTCGGGTTTATTTAGTGAAATATTTGAGCCAACAACTTTGTCGAACTGAAAAAATAAAAGTGTTTAATTGATTATAATGAAGGAATCATCAAATATTGTAGAGCATTTAAATATAGTAACTCGTATTAGTTATCGACAGTTTTGATAAATATTAGTGCGAATTATTAAAATGATTGAATTAATGAACACAAAAACACTCTAATTTTTTGCTTTTCGATTCAAAATGTTATTGATTAAAAAACTAAGAGAAATTAGCGATGAAAAACCTTTTTGATTGATATTTTACGATTTAGGAACTTACTGATAAACTCCATAGATATGTTAAAACCTATAATAGCATATTTTATTCCCTTATAGTAGATGTGCTTAGCCGTTGCACATATAAACCAAAACAATTATTAATAATATTCAGATCAAAGTGTTTTTCTTTCACTGCTATCTTTGAAAGTATATTTTTGAATGCCTAATTTACGTTTTGATACATCAGTTCTCAACATATTAAACATAAAATGCAGAATTAATGTAAGTATGCGAACAAGCTCGTGATGTGATCATATCTGGCGAATGCCAGATATCCGTCTATCAATAAAAAAACGAGTATACTGTGCAGCAGTTCGTTCTGTTTTACTTTACAGCTGCGAAACGTGACCATTAAGGGTGGAAGATACTCGTCAGATACTTGTATTTGATCTCAGATGTTTTAGAAATATTGCTCGCATCTGCTAGGATCACCGGGTAAACAATACTGAGGTTAGGCGCAGGGTATTAGGGAATGATGGTAAATCAGTTGATGAGGATGTAAATCTTCATCGACTGAGATTGTTGGATCACGTGTTACGTATGCCTAAACACTGATTACCACGACGCGAAATGTTGACTAGTGTTGAACATGGTTGGAAAAAAGTTAGGAGCAGCCAGAGCAGAACGTGACATCAGTCATTGAAGGCATTCACTTCCGGTCTGAGTCATGTCGGTAGATGCACAATACTTTGTTGTGTCGGCGTGACTATCGTAATCAATAGTTGGAGACTCTGGATAACATGGCTCAAAATCAATCACAGTGGAGTAGGTGTATACACTCTCTGTCTTCCCTTAAACCGTGAGACTAAAATCGCTTTCTATCTTTCTTTCCTTCTACCAACTAATTCTTTTTTCCTGTACTATATCCTTATATGCAATCTTTCTTTCATATATTGCTAACATTGAAGTGACTACTATGAATTCGGTGTTCATCTTGTTGTGCTAATGAGGTATGGCAAGTTGGACCGATGCATATATGTGCCTGGTCCTACGTTGTAGCTGACTGACTGAATTGAACAAGGAGAAACACCATGACATCAACCCACTTAGATTAGTAGTTACATTGTAAGCTTAGCTGATTCAAATTCACGATTAGCAGTAATCACTTGATAACGTTAAACTTATTGATATTATGCTATGGTTACATGCAAAGAAATTTAATCATATAATCTATACATTTTACAAATACTCTATAAAACAACTTCCTTAAACGTTTAATAAAAGTTATAGCAATAATAATATTAATATAAACAACAAATGTTGAATAAGGATAAGATATAATTGAAAACTTCTATCTCACTATTCTGGTGAAGAAAACCAAACAAACAGAAGGGTTACAACATGAACAGATATTATTCGTTAGTTCAGGTTACATCAAAACTATTTTTTTTACATAGTAACTACAAAATTTTACAAATTTAGCGTATTTTTTTTCACTATAAGAACAGAAAGCATTAAAGATACCAATTAATAAAATCAGATAAAAATGCAAAGAAAAAGCAATGACATTAAATTGGACAGGCTTATTCAATATTCTAAAAAATGAACAAAACAAAACAATTTATTAAGCCATAAATAGCAATGATAATTAATGTTCATAACATGAAAATTAAATAACATAGTAATCAATGACTTAATATTGAATAGAATTATTTTTTAAAAAAAACTTACTTTCAGTTCATTGATATGATTTAACCTTTGAAGTACAAGAACCAACATTGCCAAACTTTGAACATCATGTATACGAAGGAAATGTCGAATCCTGTATTGAACAATGAACGTTTTTTTTAATGCGACAACAATAATTTATGAAAATCACAACAACAAGAAAAAAACAACAAATAGAAACAACTGAAAATAAGAATAATTTGATTCATATAGAAAAATAGTAAGTTCTGATTATAGACAGTAATCATAATTTTTTGCAAAGTACATTTCATTCTAAGAATCCATTTGGCTTGGTAAATCAATATTAAGTAATAATTAAAAAGTTACAATACAAAAGAAATGACTATTGTCAGTTAGTAGCATATAAATGATATTTCGTCGTTTAAGTTCAGGTTGGAGAAGAGTGAAAAGTGACATCAATAATTTTCAAATACAACTAGCCAATAAAGTATTTCGCCACTATGAAATTGTATGTCGTCAAAATATAATGTAGAAAGAAAGAACAAAAAGACAACAATTAACAGCAGCCGAACACGAGCAGAAAAAGTCCAAGAACAAGCTGAATACATAGAGGCAAACAAACAAGTGAAGAGGAGCATTAGAGCCAACAAGAAGAAATACGTGGAAGAACTAGCAACGACGGCAGAAAAAGCTGTTAGAGAAGGAAATATGAAACAGCTTTACGATACAATGAAGAAACTAGCAGGGAAATACAGTAAACCAGAGAGGCCGGTCAAAGACAAAGAAGGCAAGCCAATCACCGAAATTCAACAACAGCGTAACAGATGGGTAGAATACTTCGAGGAACTCCTGAATAGGCCGGCTCCAATGAATCCACCGGACATCGAAGCGGCACAGACAGATCTTCCCATAGACGTCAACCCACCAACTACGGAAGAAATCAGAATGGCCGTCAGACAAATCAAGAACGGGAAAGCAGCGGGACCGGACAACATATCAGCTGAAGCACTGAAGTCAGACATCGAAGTAACTACAAACATGCTTCACATTTTATTGAAGATTTGGGAGGGGGAAAAGTGCCGATGGACTGGAAAGAAGGACACCTCGTCAAGATTCCAAAGAAAGGAGATCTGAGCAAATATGAAAACTACAGAGGCATTACACTACTGTCAATACCAGGCAAAGTCTTTAACAGAGTGTTGTTGAACCGGATGAAAGATGCAGTAGACGTCCAACTTCGAGATCAACAAGCTGGATTCCGTAAAGATTGGTCGTGCACAGACCGAATCGCGATACTACGGGTCATCGTCGAACAATCATTGAGTGGAACTCATCACTGTACATCAACTTCATTGATTATGAAAAAGCATTTGACAGTGTAGATAGGAGAACGTCAAGGCAGTTCCACTGTACGGAGCTGAAAAATGGAGAACTACAACAACCACAATCAAGAAAGTACAAGTATTTATAAATAGCTGTCTACGCAAGATACTCAACATCCATTGGCCCGGTACCATCAGCAACAGCCTTCTGTGGGAGAGAACAAACCAGTTTCCAGATGAAGAAGAAATTAGGAAAAGACGATGGAAATCGATAGGACATACATTACGCAAGTCGTCAAACTGCATCACGAGGCAAGCCCTAACTTGGAATCCTGAAGCGAAGCGGAAAGGAGGAAGGCCAAAGAACACATTACGTCGGGAAATCGAAGCAGATATGAAAAGGATGAATAACAACTGGAAGAAGCTGGAAATGATTGCCCAGGACAGGGTTGGATGGAGAATGCTGGTGAGCGGCCTATGCTCCTCGACGAGGAGTAACAGGCGTAAGTAAGTAAGTAAGAATTCATTCATTCATTAAGTGAGTCAGTCAGTCAGCTACAACGTAGGATCAGGCACATATATGCATCGGTCCAACTTGCCATACCTCATTAGCACAACAAGATGAACACCGAATTCATAGTAGTCACTTCAATGTTAGCAATATATGAAAGAAAGATTGCATATAAGGATATAGTACAGGAAAAAAGAATTAGTTGGTAGAAGGAAAGAAAGATAGAAAGCGATTTTAGTCTCACGGTTTAAGGGAAGACAGAGAGTGTATACACCTACTCCACTGTGATTGATTTTGAGCCATGTTATCCAGAGTCTCCAACTATTGATTACGATAGTCACGCCGACACAACAAAGTATTCTGCATCTACCGACATGACTCAGACCGGAAGTGAATGCCTTCAATGACTGATGTCACGTTCTGCTCTGGCTGCTCCTAACTTTTTTCCAACCATCTTCAACACTAGTCAACATTTCGCGTCGTGGTAATCGGTGTTCATTAATATAGACATAAAGAAAAAGATGGTATTGTACGAGATATGAAAAGAAATTAAGCGACATCATAAACAAGCTTCACAATACTACTTATTTAAAAAAAATTATTTAGGTGAAAGTCCTTCTTCACTTTGCCTCATAGTTATTTTAGGTCTTTCGTCTGTATCTGGAAACAACAGTTGTAAAATATACAAGATGATTCTATCGTATTTCATTAAGTTACCGTAATTCTGTTATCATAAAGAAGTTTGATTAGATTGAGAAATGGTCCATTTTCTTTGATAACAATTGTGTTTTCATAAGGCATAATTTCTAATTTTTCTCGATAACATATCGCAAACCCATTCTTATCAAAGTGATACATAATACAACACGTTAACAACTAAGTACATAGTAAGTAATATCTAACGAAATTTAATAAATGGGAATAATGATTCTTAGGTATTACAATCTAAACCTTATTTACTACCAAAAGTAAGTACACACAGTTTTTATTCCTTTATCTTCAAGAGTGGCACACAATTATTGTCATTAGATATGGCTTTTAAGTCAGAAATTTACTACATTTTAGATAATCACTAGAATCAATCAACTCATTTAGTGTCCAAACTCAGCGTTGCTTTTCTTTAAAGATTCAAATCAATAAACGGGGATTTTTTAAATTATCATAAGTATCTCTAAGATTATTGAAAACTACTTACCATGTATCAAATAACGGTCTACCAATTAATTGTGAAGCTAAAGGTTGATAAACTTGGTGAGAATGATCTGTGTGACTAAGTGAGATCGACATAACTAGAGCATATTGCCAGAACTAAGTTAAATGATGATAAAAATAAAGAAAACAGTAACAAGCAAAATAAAATCTACGTAAATAAGACAAATAAATATATAAACTAAAGGAATCCTTTGAGTGTATTCAAATGGTGGCTAGAAGTGAAATACGGGATACAATCTGATCTTACTTGGGATTCATCAGCTAGATGCCCTCTGTTATTCACACGGAGACTCTAAACTAACACCTAACACTCCTTCAAACGGCTTCCAAATAGGATGAAACACGTGCCTTTGATTCCACTGTTAACCACAATAAGAATACACTGAAAAACTATAGTTAATGAGCAGTATTGAGGCACTCGTTTATGGTAGATCTTTATGGTTAAAAATTGATCATTCTTAGTCCTGAAAATATTAACTATCACTAAGAAAAATTAATGTTTTAAGAAATAAAAACGGGTGTAATTTTAAAACCAATACCTTTTCTTATTAAAAATTTACTAACGATTAAGTATATCTACAGTCTGTACTCGTTAGAGATTGATTTCAGTTGTGTTACCACCAAAAAAACAAGTGGCGTTGGACTGCTGTTTCGACCTAGTAAGGGACGTCTCAGAAGTGAGCAACCACGAACCCTCCATCTATCGAAACTAGAACAACGAAGCATTGAGACATACGATTAACAATTGGAACCATTGCGTAGACATCCAATGATACAACCCTAACGCCAGTGAATTCGCGATTTAGAGCAGTGATCAACCAATGGTGTTGGTGGCGACTGTCTTATTCCCAACATGTTTGAACTCTATTACTCACGACTACTAATTAGAATTTCAAGAGCATTTTGAAGTTATTAGTTAGCAGAATATCACAGCCTAGTTAAAAGTTTTCATCAGTAGTACTGGATGAACTTCGTGATATGTTCCAAACTGATTGTATTTGGAGTTGTGCCATTAGAAGCCACGTCAGTGGTTTTATTGATTAAGAATTTGCCGGAAGATGTTATGGTCCTGGATCTGATTCATGAAGGGTTTGTGGTTGCCCACTGCTGAAGGGATCCATACTAAGATAAAGCAACTATCCCGAGATGTAACGAATACAACTTACTAATTAGATTGACTTCTATAAAACACATTTATCGATTTAAATACTACTTTAGTTATTTGTCTCATCGTAACAATTTATAGGATGTTTAAGGACTACTTTAAATTATATTGTTGTACCTAAAATGGATAAATAATAAAGCTAGACAGGGTAAACACATTGATAAGTCAAATTTATCTCTTAAAACTCAGAGAATAACTTAGCATGGCACAACCCATCTGAAACTAGAACCTACAACACTTCGCTTTAAACATAAAGTCTTACTAACTAAATTATGAAGTTGCAAAAGTTTTATTTTTAATACAATCAATGGTAGTATTGATATGGTTGTATACAAAAGTAAAATATTACAAATTATTAATCAACTCAGTGTTATGAATCTCCGATTGAATGTTCATTTGAAGGAGATATTAGGATTTCTAGTTAAAAAAAACTACAACTTCAACGTTATAATCAGAGAATTAAAGTCCTACTGATAATGATATTAAAAGCATTACTACATTAAGAAATAAATATCGAAATTAAGAGATATCGGGGTAACAAACATACCAAGTCCTTATAACATTTTTTTCTATCCAGTTGAAGAGGTAAATAAAAGGAAAATATAAACATAAGTTTCATATTTGCTATCAACCATCAACGAAAATGTAAACTAATTCTTGACAAAACTCATTCGATCTATGATATTTAGGTTTATGTTGTACAGCACCGCTTCAATGACAAAAGTTATATTTAAACACAAAATAAAACATTTTAAAAGATGTTTCCAAGTTTTAAAAAAAATCAATTGTTGGATAACAATCTCAATATTGCTTGTTCAGTATCCGTGAAATAGCTCTCAAGATTAGAGAGCGAAATACAGTAAAATTTTGGTAACGGGATAGGGAATAGATTTACAGTTTGTGGATAGTGTGAGAAAATTTATTGGAGTAACGAACGCACAATTATGTATAAAATGAACAGGAAGTCTTTCACTAAACATAGAAAAATATAATAATATAAAGAACAGACTGTATACCATAAGTAATACAAAATAAGTAAATATATGCTTACTCGAATAAGATCCTTTCGATGAGTATTATAAACTGCATGAAGATTGTGAATGCACATCTGTTGTAAATTTTCGGTGTTTAAGCTATATATATATATTTGAAGGTCAAGACAAATGAATGAATTATCATGGATTCATTAAGATAATATTTATGAAAAGAATACTTTGCAAGTATATTTTCTGTATAAAATCATAAAGCAGAAAGATAAGCTTTGAAATCAGTTGCACTGGAGTAGATGGATTTATTCCTTAACTAAACCTTAAGTTTAAGTGTTATATAGTGAACTTTGATTTCACTCTTTCTATGCTTGTTTCTTAGATTATTAATAATATCCATATTTTGGCTAACTAGCTGTTCATATCTTAATGATTTCTTATTACTGTAGTAGACTGAAGTATGAGTACTTGAACTGATGTACATTTATACCACGTCCGATGTTGATTGATCACAAAGATAAATCTTTTTAAATAATGTTAGAGCAAATCAAAAGAAATTTTACAAAAACGCTCAATTATTTCTACATTATATACTGAGTTGAAGAATACAGACATAATTTAAGGTATTTGTTATAGACTAGTACAAACATACTATCTTACATACTATATCAACGCTTCATTACTAACGTTTTGGTCAGACATTTTTGTTAAATAGGAAAAACTGTAAATAACAATTGTAAAGATAGAACATTCAAGTATTTTATTCAGATGTTTTAAGAGATAAGTTCGGTTTTACACATGACTCAATTTAATTGTTTTAAACACTTATAAGTGCTTTACAGTATAATAAATAAAGAAAATGAACGTATGTTCATCCGACAAGAATAATGGTGACAGGATATAATAAGTTAAACAATTAACAGGCAATATTTTTTAACACAAACTAATTCACCAAGTCATATGATAATTTCAATAAGAGCAAAATTCTGAAAAGAAAAGATTTATATCATAGTGAATAATAAACGACTGTCGAATTGAAATCATTCATTATAACAGTAAGAAGAATTTGAGAAAAGTATATCAAACAAGATATGTTTAAATATAATCTTACGAACCTGTAATCATACATTAAATGCCGGTCCCAAATTAAAGGGCTCATGTCATAAATTTGAATAGTAGATGGATCTGTAAAATGAACATAATTAGAATTTTAAAGATTTACTCGAGGATAAAAAGTGTGAAGAAAAAATTAAGGGAAATTTCATTATGAATTTGTCCACAAATTGATAAAAAAAAATCATGTTATTACACTTATCGGTACATACAGTTAGGCAGAAATAATTTACTTGTGTGCAGTCACATTTGATTTATTCACTATTAAAATTAACTTTAAGTTACTTTGTTTGCACTGGAAACATTTAGAACATACATTCCACAAAAGGAATGAATTAACCTTCGTTTTGCCCGGTGAAAATTGTAAAAAGGAAACCTGATGAGATGTTTTAGGGCTACAAGGATGTGCTTACATAATGCTAAAAACAAAGAAGTGGACTTTATGCATAATATGATAAATTAACTAGGTCACCCACAAAGTTTTTTTATGGAAGCATGTGTTTACAGTTAACAGTTAGTTAGACACAGACTGTTCTACATAAATCTCTTTACTATAAAGCTAAAATTTAATGGAGACATAGCTAGCACTGTTTTATACAACAGACTAACTAGAACTGAGAATAGGACTTTTTATTCAGCTGATCGTTGTTCGCCACTTCCTAATCGACCACTGGTGATCGCTTAACTAAATAATGAGTTACCTGGTCTCTCTACCTTGATATGCATCTAGTAATTCAGCTACTCATGCGAAGAACTCTATATTGGAAAGGGGGGGCTGCCAGACAGCCAGTTAACCAGCATCTCTCTTTCGTGATTCAAAAAAGGGTTAGACTAGGTCATGGGCAACTCCAGTAAGTATATGATGATGGTCATTTGATAGATAAAACCAAAGTATTCAGTTATTTTTTGAATTTGTGGTACCACTGCCTCTATCTCACTAAATGTCTCTACCATTTGTTTGTTTATGTTTACCTTTTTCATATATCTTTTTTACTATTTGAATACTTAAATTGATAATTCACATAGTTCGCCTGAAGCAATTCTTTCAGGACCAGAGTTTTAACAAGTTTATTCTTGCAAGTTTATACATATTTCCGAAATAATAATTATTGTTATCTTACTCTTTAATGTACTTAGAATTAGTACAATACCTATCAACTTACTCTCAATTTATATTTTTCACTTATTATTACTAGTTATGCAATCTGTTTCTCAATGAATCGAGAAACCCCATGATTGTTTTATTATTTTTTACATAGACGTATAAATATTACCGTACATTAGAATAGAATGGTATGAAGATTTGGTTGAAAACTGGATTATTGGCTTATATGTATTGTTTCAGTAAGAAGCAAAGAAAAAGACGGATCTACTACTTATATTCTTCATCGATAATAGATCTTGATTGATGTGATGCTTCTTTCGAACATAAGCTAGTTATTCAAACCTATTCGCGTTGTATGTGTACGCAGAACTAAAATGACTGCATATTTAGAAAAAGGTCAAAATATACTAAACTACGTCTTATTGGATGCATTTTTGTTTTAAAAAATGGTTAAAAAGCACTATCTTTTTGGACTTTTTTTCCTAAAATAACCAGAATAAAATATCAGCTCTTCCCCTATCCGTTAGGATAACTAGATAGAGATTATGAACTAAGTAATTTATTCTTTAACAAATAGCAGAAATAATTGATTGATAACCTCAACTAGAAATGTTTGTGAGCTAAACATATTGATAATTTAAGTTCTTATATGTAATGAAAGTTATTTAATATATACATGTGTAGTAATGAAGAATCAATGCTTACTATACAACTTTCATTAAACATTTCATAAAGTGAATGCTACATGACAACTCATACCATTTTGAATACACACTAGGATTTTTATTCCGTGCATAATGTATAGTCAACTCCGCCTGTAGCTCTTAGAGGGTTACTGCCGGTCCCAAGCCCGGGTAAAGGAGGAAGGTTGGGCATGGGGTTAGCGTCCCCATCCCGTAGAAAACTAACTCGCTAAAAAAACGCTTACCAGAAAAAATAATCCAAACCATTTTAACTCTGCCCTGGGAGTTAGAAGGTCTTCATTTAGAAGAATTATGACGCTTCATGGTGAAAGCCGAGTTCCTTCGGAAGCCACGAGGCCGATGCCCCTTCTAACAACCAGAGCAAAAATTTTCATAGGTACATGGAACGTTCGAACAATGTGGGAAACCGGGAAGACCAGTCAAATATCAATGGAAATGAGGAGATACAACTTAGCAGTACTGGGAATCAGCGAAACCCACTGGACCCAAGCTGGACAGAAAAGGCTAGCTACGGGAGAGATGCTGCTATACTCCGGTCACGAAGAGGACAATGCTCCACACACTCAGGGAGTCGCTCTAATGCTGTCCAAAGTAGCACGAAATGCACTTGTAGGATGGGAATCTCACGGATCCAGAATCATCAAAGCATCATTCAAAACAAAGAAGGAGGGGATCCTAATAAATATTATCCAATGTTATGCACCCACCAATGATAGCAACGACGACATTAAAGATCAGTTCTGCGAGCGGCTGCAGTCAATCATAGAGAAATGCCCAAGAAAGGACCTCACCATTCTAATGGGAGATCTAAATGCCAAAGTCGCAATAGACAACACTGGATATGAAGATATTATGGGACGACATGGACTGGGACAGAGAAACGAAAATGGAGAAAGATTTGCAAATCTGTGTGCATTCAACAAATTGGTCATAGGAGGCACAATATTTCCACACAAGCGTATACACAAGGCTACATGGATCTCACCGGACCACACTACAGAGAACCAAATAGATCATATGTGCATCAACAAAAAATTCCGAAGGACAATGGAAGATGTGAGAAGCAGGAGAGGTGCTGACGTAGCTTTAGATCACCACCTAGTTGTAGCCAATTTGAAACTGAAGCTAAAAAAGAACTGGACAAGTGGACAAACAGCAATACAAAGGTTCAATACAGCCTTCCTTCGAGATACTGACAAACTCAATGAATTCAAGATAGCTCTCAACAACAGGTTCCAAGCCTTACAAGATCTACTGAAAGAAGAAGAAACTACTATGGAGGACAACTGGAAAGGTATCAAGGAAGCATTAACTTCAACGTGTCAAGAGGTTCTCGGTCTAAAGAAATACCATCATAAGGAATGGATCTCTACAGAAACACTGGACAAGATCAAAGAAAGGAAGAACAAGGCAGCAATAAACAACAGCCGAACACGAGCAGAGAAAGTCCAAGAACAAGCTGAATACATAGAAGCAAACAAACAAGTGAAGAAGAGCATTAGAGCCAACAAGAAGAAATACGTTGAAGAACTAGCAACGACGGCAGAAAAAGCTGCTAGAGAAGGAAATATGAAACAGCTTTACGATACAATGAAGAAACTAGCAGGGAAATACAATAAACCAGAGAGGCCGGTCAAAGACAAAGAAGGCAAGCCAATCACCGAAATTCAACAACAGCGTAACAGATGGGTAGAATACTTCGAGGAACTCCTGAATAGGCCGGCTCCAATGAATCCACCGGACATCGAAGCGGCACAGACAGATCTTCCCATAGACGTCAACCCACCAACTACGGAAGAAATCAGAATGGCCGTCAGACAAATCAAGAACGGGAAAGCAGCGGGACCGGACAACATATCAGCTGAAGCACTGAAGTCAGACATCGAAGTAACTACAAACATGCTTCACATTTTATTGAAGATTTGGGAGGGGAAAAGTGCCGATGGACTGGAAAGAAGGACACCTCGTCAAGATTCCAAAGAAAGGAGATCTGAGCAAATATGAAAACTACAGAGGCATTACACTACTGTCAATACCAGGCAAAGTCTTTAACAGAGTGTTGTTGAACCGGATGAAAGGCGCAGTAGACGTCCAACTTCGAGATCAACAAGCTGGATTCCGTAAGGATCGGTCGTGCACAGACCGAATCGCGACACTACGGATCATCATCGAACAATCATTGAGTGGAACTCAACATTGTACATCAACTTCATTGATTATGAAAAGGCATTCGACAGTGTAGATAGGAGGACGTTATGGAAACTTCTTCGACACTACGGAGTTCCTGAGAAGATTGTCAATATTATCCGGAACTCATACGACGGACTACAGTGCAAAGTAGTGCATGGAGGACAGCTGACAGATGCATTCCAAGTAAAGACCGGAGTCAGATAAAGCTATCTACTCTCTCCCTTCCCCTTTCTTCTGCTGGTCGACTGGATTATGAAGACCTCAACATCTGAAGGAAAAGACGGAATACAATGGACAGCTCAGAACCAATTAGACGATTTGGACTTCGTAGATAACCTAGCCCTCCTATCACATACACACGAACAGATGCAGACAAAGACAGCCAGTGTAGCAGTAGTCTCTGCATCAGTAGGCCTCAGCATACACAAAGGGAAAACTAAGGTCCTCAAATTCAAAGCGCAAAACAGCAATCCAATCACTCTTGATGGCGAAACTCTGGAAGATGTAGAATCCTTCACATACCTGGGAAGCAGCATCGATGAACAAGGAGGTTCAGATGCAGACGTAAAGGCGAGGATTTGCAAAGCAAGGGTCGCATTCCTACAATTGAAGAACATATAGAACTCAAAACAACTTTCAACCAATATCAAAATCAGAATCTTCAATACAAACGTCAAGGCAGTTCTACTGTACGGAGCTGAAAAATGGAGAACTACAACAACCACAATCAAGAAAGTACAAGTATTTATAAATAGCTGTCTACGCAAGATACTCAACATCCATTGGCCCGGTACCATCAGCAACAGCCTTCTGTGGGAGACAACGAACCAGCTTCCAGATGAAGAAGAAATTAGGAAAAGACGATGGAAATCGATAGGACATACATTACACAAATCGTCAAACTGCATCACGAGGCAAGCCCTAACTTGGAATCCTGAAGCGAAGCGGAAAGGAGGAAGGCCAAAGAACACATTACGTCGGGAAATCGAAGCAGATATGAAAAGGATGAATTACAACTGGACGGAGCTAGAAAGGATTGCCCAGGACAGGGTTGGATGGAGAATGCTGGTGAGCGGCCTATGCTCCTCGACGAGGAGTAACAGGCGTAAGTAAGTAAGTAAGTAAGTAAGTAATCTCATTATGTTCGTTAATAAAATTGCCGTAATCTTTGGAATCTGCAAACGACTTTTATACAAAAGTTAGGGATAATCGACTACTTGACGAATAGGAAGAGAGTGAAATAGAAGAAAAGAGAAATTAGAAAATGATAATTATTATTCATTAATAAGTATAAAAGATTGAAAGACAATACTAACAATTGACTATTATGCAAAATAAGAAGAGAAGTTAAATCTTTGGTGGAATGAAAGATCAGATAGATTACTTCTGCGAATAGAATTTAGGTCTTAGTTTCTTTAATTCTTATTCAACTTATTCCTAGGTTCCGTGTAATTTCATTCTACTGTAATAATATAAACAGATGTAATTAGTTAAATATATCAAGAGATCTATACAAATGTAATCAATGACTGAATACTTCTAGGATAAATAATTACTGACAAGTAAGTGAACAAAAATCAATTATAGAAAATAATTAACATAAAATGATACAGGAAATATTGTTGCTTATGATAACGTAAAAACACATTACAACTATTACATATTTCTCCATATCAGTAATTTTGATAATACAATATGAAGGCGGTATAAATATGACTAAAATAAGTCGTCATCATTTAAGATAAATAATGTCAATATCGGATATACATATCCTTAGTTGTCGGCAAAGCTAACTTGTTAATCAGATATCATAGAAATAATAATAACTATAAAATCGTATCAATTTTCATTCATTTAAATATCTAAGTCATAATTTTTGTCATGATACACACCTACTTGAACACTCGTATATATATATATATATATATATATAAATAAAAGCAAATGTAAGCTTTTATAAGAATAGTGTACAAAATTATTTTACAAGAAACTTCATTTGGAAATCCTATAATATATTATCAGTAAAACAGAGTAAATTTACAACAACAACAACAACAGAGAATAGCGTTGATGAGTAAAATGGTGCGAAAATATGAGTTGATACGCCACTGTTAAGGTCAACTTTAAAATTAATATAAAACGTGCATATATACATTAGTCAATAGAGTAACTATAACTGCATTTACTTTTAAAACAGATACATATTTCCTTCGATTTTCATATGTCAACTGTGATATGTATATGTAGCGAAGAAAAACAAGATAATAATATAAACAAACATGACTTACAAATCATACTGAAATGACTGAGGAACATTTCAGTTGGATTCTGGACATCAGGAGAGTTGGGATGTGTTGTTGAAATGGAATTGAACCATTTTTGTTCCGTCACACGAGCAGACTCAAACGAATTTTTCTATAACAAATAAAAATGGATAACAACGTTTTATGCACAACAAAATGCTCGACTAAATTGGCTTATTTTAATAATCATTAGAAGCTTATTTTATTAGTCATGATCCGTTCACAATACGATCCACAATTATTTGATTGATAATGAAGTGTTTGGAATCAAGTTAACGTATGTTTCAAACTTCTTTCATGTTGAGAATGGTCAGATTTCCTAAAACAAAATGTAACACTAACAGTTTTCCGCCTAACTCTTTAAATTCTGTGTGTCTTTCTTTCTTATTTTAGTCAAATATGTTCAATTGTTAGTCATTTCTTGATCTAATGAAATTTTTTTTCCACCCGCTAGAAATACATGATAACTATTTAGAAAACTGATGATTATTATAAACAAGTAAATTTTCAAAACAAATATCAATTTCCTTTTGCAAGCTCATTTATTACTGTGTAAGAAAAGAGGATGTTCTCTACATTCATAATTTATAGCATTTACTGCTAAGAGTATCGAGCCTTATGTACTGAGAAATTCGTACAACTTACAAAAGTAACACATTATAACGAATTTTATCCGACATAACTGAGGAATTGAAATCTCCGAGAGTTGAAATTTCTCACATCAATCATTCTGTAATATACTCCAAAACGTAATGAATAAATGATAAATGAAATGTTATATAATACATGCAGTCGACTGTACAAAAATATTACATAATGGTTAACAAGTAATAATAGAATTTTACGAAAAAAGTAACAATATAACATATAAGCTAAATTTACCTTTACTTCAGCATCATTAGCTGTTGAATTCATTGAATTTTGGTTAAGTTCTACATTCATTTTAAAAGATAACCTATTTTTGTCAATTAATTCAGTGATAATTTTCTGTTTTTTATGAGGTTGATGCTGTTGTCGTTGTTGTTCTTTACAATCTACCTCAAATCTAGCAAATGAATCAATTATATTTCCAATACAATTCTGAAATGATCTTCTCATATCATCATTATATTCACGATTTGCTGATGAAAATCGTTGGATAAATGTTTGATATTCACTAAATGATTGTGGTGTCCAATCTTTTTTTGTGTCATTATTATTATTATTATTATTATTATTATTATTATTATTATTATTATTTGTTAACTCTACTTGACATTTATCATCTGATGAAGTTGATTTTATTGAATTACGTATAAATGACAAAGATTCTGGTAGACCGAATGTTACAATTAGACCATTCGTGGTAAAATGAACACCAGATGTTCTTGGGAAAGGAATACCTATTGTATAATGACATTTTTGTTTCATTGAAGCTGTTGTATCAATAATTGGTTTGTTCAGTGTATCCATATTAACATTAAGCATATCATAATTAGTAGTAGATAAATTTGTTAAGTTTAATTTTTTAGAATTATTTTCTATCTACAATAAAATCAAAAGAGAAAAAACGAATCAAAAGTAAAACTGTGAGGATGAAGACGGTGGTCTATGACAGTAGCTGAGCGACTTTTTTATATGAATACATTTTAGTAGTTATAACTCATTGTGTCCATAACATGATGGAATACAAAATGTTAATGAGTCAATTATATCCAAAACCGACTTCTCAAATTCTCCACAGATAAAACACAATGTAGGGAAGATATTAATAAGATACTTACTTGATTACTTAACGTAGGATATGTTTGTAAAGTGATCACAGCATTTCGTATACATGGTTCAACACAACCACGTGAGGTGGACACTAGTTCAGATGCAGTTGAATATAAAACCTGATAACAGAAGAAAGTAACACAGCTACTAAAAGATTTTAAAAAATACACCAACAGAAATGAGGTAAAAGTTGAAAATATCTTATTTTGAGGACGATAAAACACATAATTCACATTTTTCCTAAATGAATTACTTTCTGATAGTAATTAACATTTCGATGATAGTTGATTTTAATAAGCAATCAGAATTAAGCGAATCACATAAAACTACCTCTAACTTTTAGTGATAGAATAAAGAAATTTAGACTTAGACAAGTACTGAGAAAACTTTAAAAATCTTAGTAACTACGTGATGATAAATTGTTGTATATGTCTATTAAAATGAAGCTCGGACAATGATAAGAAATCCAAACTAATCAGTGTTGTAGGAAACGTGCTTTACCACAAGATATATCTTTTATTATGAATGAATCTGTGTAAAAATTCTTAAGACAGAACATAGAATGTCAAGTGATTACCTACCGAATATGTCGGTTGTTTGAATTACCATAATTAATGAACATTTGAATGCCATATTATGTGAATCAGCTCTCCCTTTCTATATATATATAACTATCATTATTGATAGGAATGAAGTTAAACGAACTAGATATACGACGAAATTTTTCCAAGATAGTTTAAAGTGTCAATCTGTTCTCTCTAAATAATTTCCATAGATATTTCTAAACATGTAGAATAAACAGCTTAGTTTCTATGTATGCTTAAAAATCAAGAAAATAAAAAAGTTGAATATCTTATTAGAATTAGTTTCTTTTTGTATTGTTTCACTGATTTTCATGTTCAGAAAAAAAAACTATATCTTGAAATGAAATGCTAATAATTTGATCTGTTTTTTAATGATAAGTTGGAACTGTTTACTTTAGATCACTTAGATAAACAGTTAAGAGAATGAGTTGAAATAATAAAATTCTCGTCAGTATAAATGTATACCAACAAGTAAAACTATAAAGAAACAAGAAATATATACTAAAAACATCATTTATAGCCATTTCTTCATAACTAATATTAAGAATATAAATAATATAGGAATATACAAAATATTAAATGAGATATTTATTTATTTAGTTGAACACATAAATATTGGTACAAGAGGGCACCAAATATATATGCGCCACACAAAACAATGAGAATGGGAAGAGAAAAAGAAGGTAAGGAGCTTATAGGAAAAAAAGAACAATAACGAACAGATTACTGTACGGTAGTGTAATAATAATAATAATGGGAGAAACGGAAAGGTACAATCAGAAGAAATCTTTCAGTTAAGGAAGATACAACCACTTTTTATTAAGAAAGTAAAAGAAGGTTACAGCACGATCGCCACTGGCTTCTATTCTGAGCCATATCTAATAACGTCTCTAGGTGCTGTGTTGCGCCATCTGTAGGACCCCAGCCAGCGAGTCGTGAAGGACCAACGCAAGCCAGCCCTTTTCAGCTTTCTTTCATACCACGACACCATGTCATACACTGACCACCTCTCCGCTTTTCCGAACCAGTCCCAGCGTCGGCAAATAATTCACGACGTGGAATTCTCTGGGACGACATTCGTACAACATTTCCAAACCACCGAAGTCGATGTTTCAAGATGGTGACACCAATTGGATTATCGTCTCTGTGCCTGAACACACGATGCCGAACCTCTGCATTACTAACATGGTGTTGCCACTAGATGTCAGCAATCCTCCGGGGACAGCGATGATCGAACACAGAGAGTCATCTTACATCCTCAACTCGGAGAGGCCAGGTTTCACAAGCATAGAGCAAAACTGCCCTCACCGACGCGTTATAGATTCGACCTTTTACAGCCAGACTGACATCACGAAGGCGCCAAAGATGGCCCAGATTGGCATAAGCCGCTCTGGCTTTCACTATACGTGTATTGATCTCATCACTCACGCCACCATCAGCACTTATGCAGCTACCTAGATACACAAACTTCTCGACTACTTCTATCTGCTCACCATCCAGAGTGAGTGCAGGATTAGAATCCTCCCAGTCTTGTAGAAGTACTTTGCACTTCGAAGGTACAAAGCACATACCATACCTATGGACACTGATTGCCAACTGATTAAGTGCGGATTGCATGGCTTGGGCATTATCGCACAGTAAGACAAACTACTATTATTGATCTTTAGTGCAACATATATAAGCGAACAATATTGTTTTCGATAAGATCCTCATCAGGATTTACTCTAATATACAGTAATATTCATATGCATATACGAAATTATTAAACCAATCAAAGTAGTTAATGAGTCAACGATAACGATGGGAAAGATTACATAATAAGTGAAAAGTACAAGTTGGTAGTGTGATGACAGGTGTACTAGTTGTCATAAGAATAATAAAGGCTTAAATCATTGTTACACAATAGGAAATAGGTCAATGATTAGAAAAATATACAATGAGATAACATTTATAAAAAATTATAAGATTATTGAACTGTGTAGAAAAAAAACAATGATATTCACATAGTGAACAGATAATCTCTTACAGTTTTAATTTACAAAAAAGTAAGTCATTTAAATTCCTGTAAAGTTGAAATATTTTTTTAGTCTTTCAGTTTTAACGTTAATATGACAATTATTACTAACGGATGTTTAAATGTTGAAACATTGGAATAGTAATTAAATAATTTAATTTTTCAAATAATAGGTACTAGGTAGCAGGTTCAAATTTCATTACACTTAATTTGGTTTGAGTAGACGAATAGTACTAGCAACCCATATAACCTGAAATATATTACGAAATCCAGTGTATAAAACTGTACTTTATTAATGAAGTAATCACAGAAATATGGTAATTGGTGTTTGGATTGTCGATGTGAGTTTCGTCTTCCGCTTAATATATGTTACATAGCAATGAATATTTATTTCATCCGTTGGGAATTGAAGCAAGTATTTTTTTTATAACAAACAACAACCATCACAATTTATTATTATTAACAAACATTGATCACTGTGTTGAGTGGTTTTAAAGTATACCTAATTGGTTTCAATTTAAATGTGAGCATACAAACAATAACTAACATTTATGTACGATTAGCTGAACGCCACAAAAATGAAATAAAAAATGTATTCCAGAAAACACCGCTAACAGTAATCAAAAATACTACAAAAATATCACTAAGAAAGTCTTTAAAAGAAAATAGGAGAGAGAGAAACAGAGGGGATTAATAAGAAAAAACTTACATCCTTTAATTCATCTAATACTTCTGGAGGTAAGGGTGGACTGCAATCAAGTACATGAAATTCTGGTATAGCTCCATTTAATGGATAATTATCAGGGAATTCTATACTTAATATTATTGAACCAGCTAATGGCATTTCATAGTTATGTGTATTGTTAGTCGTCGAATTTTCTAATTCATGACTATTATCAAAGGTTAAAGTAAATGGGTGATTTGATGGATAATTTGTTAAATGTGTACTCTCTTCATTATCAACACTAACAGCACTATTACTAATGCTAGTCCGATTCGATATTGTACGTTCAGTATCAGTTGTTGATGATAAATTACGATGGTGTACTTTCCAAAAATTTGAATGTTCAGAAAATTCCATTTGTGAAATTAGATCAGCAGTTGGAGGTAATAGTAGACTATCAAGACCTTCATTATTCATTACAGAACTATGACGTCGTCTTCGAAGTGTATTAGTTACTGAACATAATGAATAATGATGATGATGATTACGACGACAGTAAAATAAAATTAATTTAGCTGTACGATTGATAAGATCCATTTCTTCTAACTTATACTAAAGATACACAAATAAAAGATATAAACAACAATATAGTTTAAAAACTATTGACTAATGGTTACAATAAAAGTTCGAACTAAAAAAAAAAGAGTTAACACGTTTCATAAATCCAAAATGATAAAGTCCCTTTTAATTTGTACACATGAAATGTTTGCATAAATTTGATGAATTTCGAATTTCATTGATCTGATGAAGTAACTAATATTGAAAATTTGAGGGATATACGATAACATTGAAGTCGTGCAAAACATATACATATTGACATATAATGCGAATGTACTGTTAAAAATCATTTTATAACAGATATAGTTAATCGAAGCAATTGTATTACTGTAACAGATTTTAATTACTGCAGCTCCAAGTTTTAGAACAAGAAAACTATAGTTTTATGGATGGTATACAACAAAGATTAATGAAAAAACTTTTTTCTTATAGTGTCAACACTACTTGAAAATTAACATTTTCCTATAACTTAGAAACCATGTTACACAGTTGTCATATATAAATAACCGTGAAAACAACAAAGAATTATGTCATTAGTTATTCTTTAATATGTTACAACTAGTAATTAGCTATCGCTATTTTGTATTATAATCAATGTGATTGAGTTTAAACTATTTAAACTAGTTTAATTTGTTAACTTTGGTTAGCGTATTTTTAGCAATGTTGTTTTCTACGAGATGAGGATGCTGACCTCATGGCCAACCCTCTTCTGTTATCCGAGCTTGCAACCGGCAGTAGCCCTAGAACAGCTATAGGCGCCGAGAATCGGAAACAGACATCAAAAGTAGCATCCAGAAAGGATTATACATGACAGAGTTCAACAGAGAATGCTGATGGGTGGCCAATCCTCCTCTACAAAGGGGTAACAGGGGTAACTAAATAAAACTAGTTTAACAAGCTAATATAATTTTAGAAAACATACTCACGTGGTGTTACGGTAAAGATAAGGTTGCAGACGTTATATATATATATAAGTATTGCAAAAATGTAATTTTCAGAAAGAGATAAATTTTTAAAAGTACCAAACATAGTAATTTCAATAATAATCATTACTTCAAAATGCTAAAACATAACTGGATTAACTTTAATCAATTTTCACGTTTTTTTTTCTAACCAAATGTCGTTTAATTAAATTTATCATAGGAATTTATGGAAATATACCTTTTAAAAGCGGTAGGCGGAGAATTTTCACTGTCTACTAAACGTATTTGCAATATTAAAAGGAACGTTTTACAAGAGATGAATGTCAATTTTTATGCTTTTAGTTGCTACGCTGAATAGTATATTATATATGTATTATATCAACTATGGAGACATACACATTGATAAATTGTATTTCATCTAACAATGCTTTTAAAAAATACTATGTGTATTATTGATATGCTTGAATAATTTACAGTGTATAATAAATAAATTTAAACCGTTATTACCCAATACATCTTGATCATTTGATAAATTTTAATAAGGTGAGAACAAAAAGATATTCAGAATGAAATGAATTCATTATATTTTCAGGCTTTTCATCAGTTATAAACGGACATTATTTTTATTGATATAAAGTGTATGATAATGGACTTATTTGTGGAGCTGACACCTAGTGATTTCAGCCAATAAATCAAAGAACGTGAAACATTGAAGCAGCTGCTGAAGTACAAAAAAAGCAAGGTTTAACACATTGACTACCTATAGACTAGTACATAATCCTGTACATGGTTGCTAAGTTACAATTTTGCCTTCAATTAGCGTAGATATCCCATTGAAGGAAAAGATTTGAACGAAATATAAAACATTATTCATGCTAGTAATACTAATGGTTATAACACAACAATATGATAGGGGCGAATTATTGAAATTGTCGAATAACTAATGTTTCAGTTGGTATAATTACCATAATAATAACAACAGTAATAGTAATAAAGTAGAAATATTAGTTCATTTACTTTCTACTTACTTAACAATAAATAAATGGTAACAGCAGCAAATGAAAAAATTGACATTTAAAAATGTATATTAATAACATCGATAAAAAATCATGACTGGGATTTACATATCATGTGTAATGCTAATTACTGTAATTAATTTTGTTATACTGTTTCTTTTCTCTTCTCTTTTGAATACTGACAATGAAATGTCACAAATTTTATGACTAAAACCCATAGGGAAGGGCAAACAACAAACAATGTAGGAAATGCTTTAGTGTAGAGAATGAATTCCCCAGAATTCACATCTGTACATCGACCTTGATGTAGGGCAGCTGGAGGTAGTCATCAGGAAATTCTGGTCTCAGTTTGGTACTAGTTAGTACATGTCACTAAGGCATACCTGTAATCATAAGGGAACAGATTGTTCTTCCTAGTGCATTCGAATTCGGGTAACCCAGTTTCAGTCTAAAAGGTTATTATCGAAATATTTTAATCAAAACTGAATAGCTGTAAGACAGATATTTGCATTGACTGATTACTGCGTAGAGGTTACATGAGAATACTATCGAACTAATCATTTGCCACTACTCAGTGAACAACCATCGTACGTATACGGACTTTGATATCGTACATTTTTCTAGCTATCCTTACTCGAAAGGGCATTTGCAAGTACGAAATGTTGCATGAATATCATATCAGCATCTATCGTTTTACTATTCACAGATTGTTGAAGTGGTGGGCGACGAAAGCAAAAGAGATGGAAAAGGCGGCGTCTATAGGGAACACAAGACAGCTTTACAGACTAATAAAAGAAACTGGAATTAATAAATAAAGTGTAAGTCAGACCATTTCGGAAAAAGACGACACCCTCATATGTTCTCAGTCCAGACGTTTAGAATGATGGGCGGAACATTTCAGCTGGCCTTCAGCTACTCTACAACTACCCTCCATTCCCAAACAGTGTGTATGGAACATTGAAGTAGATCCCCCAACTCTTGCTGAAGTTCAAAAGGCTATAGTTAATCTGAAACGAGGAAAGGCAGCTGGTCCAGATGGATTGGCTCCAGAGGTCTTTAAGGATGGTGGTCCAATTTTAGCGATTACGTTGACTAATATTTTAGCTAAGATCTGGGAGTCAGACGTTATTCCATCTGACTGGTCACAATCACTTATCGTCCCAATATATATGATAGGGTCAAAATCATCTTGTGACAACCATAGAGGGATTAGTTTAACTAATATAATATCTAAAATACTAGCCTCGATAATTATCAGACGCCTAACTAAGACTCGTGAACTGCAAACACGAGAGAACCAAGCTGGCTTTAGACCTGGTCGTGGCTGCATCGACCACATATTCACCATTCGTCAGGTTCTAGAGCACTGGCATACCTATCGGCGTCCGACAATGATGATCTTTCTTGACTTAAAAGCAGCATTTGACTCTGTTGACCGAGAGGGTCTGTGGCAGTGTCTGTCATTGAAAGGCGTACCACAGAAGTACATAAACCTTGTGAAGGCTCTTTACTCGAACACTACTAGTCGAGTCAGAGATTATGACGAACTGTCATCTACTTTTGCAACCTCAAGTGGTGTCCGTCAAGGCTGTCCACTCTCCCCATTTTTGTTTAACTTCAGCATAGATCTACTGATGAAAATAAACTTCTCGTCGACTGAATTCTCGGGTATTGATCTCCATCCAGGAGGTCCACTTATCGACTTAGAATACGCAGATGACATAGTCCTGTTTGGTGAAGACACTGATAAGATGCAAAGTCTTTTGGTAGCACTAAGCAACAATGCCAGTATGTTTGGAATACGCTTCTCTCCCTCGAAATGCAAGTTGTTGCTTCAAGACTGGTCTGCGTCAACACCTGAACTAAGGATAGGGAGTGAAGTAGTCGAACGCGTCGACAACTTCACTTATCTTGGAAGTCTGATCAGCCCTAATGGGTTGGTGTCTGACGAAATCTCAGCAGGGATTCGAAAAGCTCGTTTGGTTTTTGCCAATTTTCGTCACCTATGACGAAGGCGAGATATCTGTCTATCAATAAAAGGACGAGTATACTGTGCAGCAGTTCGTTCTGTTTTACTTTACAGCTGCGAAATGTGACCATTAAGAGTGGAAGATACTCGTCAGATACTTGTATTTGATCTCAGATGTTTTAGAAATATTGCTCGCATCTGCCAGGATCACCGGGTAAACAATACTGAGGTTAGGCGCAGGGTATTAGGGAATGATGGTAAATCAGTTGATGAGGTTGTAAATCTTCATCGACTGAGATTGTTGGATCACGTGTTACGTATGCCTAAACACCGATTACCACGACGCGAAATGTTAACTAGTGTTGAAGATGGTTGGAAGAAAGTTAGGGGCGGCCAGAGCAGAACATGACATCAGTCATTGAAGGCATTCACTTCCGGTCTGAGTCATGTCGGTAGATGCACAATACTTTGTTGTGTCCGCGTGACTATCGTAATCAATAGTTGGAGACTCTGGATAACATGGCTCAAAATCAGTCACAGTGGAGTAGGTGTATACACTCTCTGTCTTCCCTTAAACCGTGAGACTAAAATCGCTTTCTATCTTTCTTTCTTTCTACCAACTAATTCTTTTTTCCTGTACTATATCCTTATATGCAATCTTTCTTTCATATATTGCTAACATTGAAGTGACTACTATGAATTCGGTGTTCATCTTCTTGTGCTAATGAGGTATGGCAAGTTGAACTGATGCATATATGTGCCTGGTCCTACGTTGTAGCTGACTGACTGACTAACTGAGATTGTTGCAAAATTACTGCATTTGGTAATTAAACAATGTTAAACTACTCAACAATGAACAAGGAAAAACACAGAAAAGAATATCACTGTAGACATTCTTTACGAACAAGCTGGTAACGGTGTTATCCAAGAAATCTGTCTGTACAATAATGGCTCGTGTGAGGAACGGGACAACAAGTTATTCGGGTTCCCCACAAATAACCCTCATATGTACCATAGACGATAAGCATTTTATCAACGGAAGAATAGATTAATTATTGTTGACTTTGTCCTACATTTTCCACTCCAGTCATCTGATGCATTCATTTCAACAAAGTAATATCATTTATCATTTTTCCGTAAGATTTTACAACTGAAAACACCCTATAAATCAAGGACTACAACTGACAACATCAGCTACAACTATACAACATGACCACTTTTTTAATTTTTTCGACAACACACAGAACTGTATCCATTAAATTAAGAAATTAACATTTGTAATGGTTAGATTTGACATTATAATTCCATATAAAAACCAACAAAAATTTCGTTTCGATCATTATTAGTTGCACCAACCAAAACATTTGTTCAATGTTCATAATCTTTTAACCACATTTTTAAATGTTTAACGGAACGAGTCATTCGTATAAAATCTGAAGTGTAAAATATTAGTGAATTTATCTTGTGAAAAGTATAGCAATGATATGAATTAGATCTAAAGAATATATCAAGTAATAAATATAAACTTACTTGTCCAGCTCTATGGCTTAACAGAGATAATTCTTGAGCGAGAAATTGGAATGCACTATCTTCTTGATTTCCACCTACAACAACAAGAAAGTCATATACATACATAAATCATTATTATACTTTTCAAAAAGCTTTCAAGCGATTGTAATAGTTCCAGCAATCAATTTGGTTAAAAAAAATTAGAGACATAGTGATGTCTGGGCCAATGTTCAACAAAGAAAAGTAATAAATATGTTGATTTGTTGCGATCAGTCATAAATAACTGGTTTGTCTCATTACTAACCTAACAAAAAATGCTATTTAGGTGACTCCATGGACGGGATCTCTGAAAACAACTTTCTGGAGGATCTCGCACTAATTTATTGAGACACATATTTCGACAGTGTTCATGAAACATTTAAATAGTACAATAATATATTTTTTAGTGAATGTAAAACATATATGTAAATTTCCTTAGAGCCCTCCTAGAGTTTATACTGGTCCCAAGCCCTGATAAAGGAGGTCTAGAGAAAAGGTTGATAACTCCATCCCATAGAAAAAAACCTTGCCAAAAAGCGCAATTATCTCTAGATACCAGGAGGTATTGCACATGAACTAATGAAATTTTGGTGCGATTTAGTGATTAAGTACAGATAAAGTTTTGAGACTTACTTATTTGAAAGATAGTAAAACTACACGAGTTCCAAAACGGAAGTGAAATGGTAGTCAAAATGGTTGAATTTAGAGTGTTTTAACCATAAAGTCACTACTTTTGGAAATTATTAGCACCAAAGTACAGAAAATGAGCATTGTGAGTTATAGTACTTCTACAGCTAATATTAATAATAACTACAATTATAGTGATAATAATAATAGCGATGATGATGGTGAGAATCTACAAACAGCATTTATTTTGGGAGTGCATCAGCGAACTTATTTTACTGACAAATTTGAGCAGGAAAAACACTATATATAATCGTAAAAGTTAATTCAAGAATGAAATGAAAAAATCAGTTTGAACAGGTCAAACAAACTTATTCAGTATTGAAGATACTTATAAAATTTCTTTTTCATAATATAAAGATATGTTGAAGAATTAGCATCATAACATACATTTAGGATCTGCATTCGGTCCACTTTTCGAAATAGATAAACATGATTTGGAGACAGAAGAACGTTGGCCAAAATCTTCACCACGATGTTGCGGGTCAATAACCTGCTTTTTTCAACATAAAAGAAAATGATCTAAATAAAACTACTCAAATTGAGATTGATAAACGTCAGACTGTAAGAAACTTCAAGTTGCGTATATCATTCAAGATGTAATTGAGTTTAATAAAATTCCTGACAACTAAGCATTCATTAGTTGTGAAGTGGTACCGGTCAATATACCGATCGAAATGGAAGATCCGTGTTTCATAGTAAAATATCTAGTTTTTCTACACAAACACATTTTTGAAAACCAAATAAATTCGACTATAAATCACTAGTGAATGGGATCAAACAAGTTTAAAATAAAACTGTGTTCTAATGGATCACGTTCCTTGGTACGCTAAGTTAGGCTTTCAGCTAAAAATGGTTGCATTCATGTTTGGTGCTAACATGAATTAGTCGGTCATAACCAATGTAGTATCTGCCATAAATTCGAGTCAGTAAACGTTTCCATATCATATCATCAATGCAAGACGGAATTATCAAGACAAAATAGCAAAAGCTAAGATAGCGATAGTATCCACTGGTGGCTTTTTTCGACAACATATTTCTACTTCAGTTAGCATTGTAAATTGAAGTAGGAGGTGGTTAGGCATATGTGACACATCTCCAACTTTTATGGTCGATAAAAAATTCCCAGATTAATTAACCGACTCACAATCTTTGCCTGATGTTAGTGTAAGTTTAACCTTACAATCGGTCAGCCTATTATTCTATTGCATACGATTAACAGGACAAAGACACTAATATTAAAACATTTTACATGTATTCCTAGTAAAAAAATTTCAAAAAGGCTGGAATATTATATAAAGGAAATCAATATTTGGTAGAATTGTAACCGAAGTAATTAATAAACACGTGGACTCTGTTGAAATGTCTTGGAATTAATTTAAAAAAAGTCTATTATAAAAAGAATATTAAACATTGGATAAAGTTTTCCTAACTTCTTAATTTGACGATAAGTCGATTATTAACAATGTCAGACCTGGCACAAATGTGGATCAGTTCAAGCCATAACACTTTTTATAAGTAAAACAAGAAAAAATCAGCAGCTTGAGAAGTAAAAAGATAGAAAATTGCAATGTTAGAATTTTGGTAATAAATAAATAAGATTTAAAATGAAATATAAAAACTGACCTGGTCACACTTATCTCAAAGTGTGAAGGCTGAGTTAACAAATACAAAACTACAGAAACGTTAGTATGATTCATTAGTATAAGTTTACTTTCCAAAAACTGTGTAACGGTGTTCTTAAAGAGTCTAAAAATAATTTATTAACCAAATGGAAACAGATCTAAATGACTGTATAAAGTAATAAAGATATTCGTTTTATACTCAATAGTGAATAAATTGATTACGATTAGCTGAATTATAATTTCCCGTGTTATCTGAATAACTTACTACCGACAACTTATGATGTAACTATATTCTACTAGTTACATAGACAGTGTAGAAAACATGCCTTGCTTTTGAACTCCTAGATGTTTATCAATAATTATCTTTGAAAAAACATGATGTTTTGTCGAACAATATATAGTTAATTACATAATTATACAAATAAACATAAATAACCTTTAGTTTATTTAAATTGTTTGTCGAAGTATTACTAAACTTCTTTGATTGATTTGTCTTTGGATTGAAATTCGTTGATAATTTATCATCTAATAAATCTTCTGATTTCTCTTTTATTATCCTTGTTTGTTTATTTGCTTGATTTGATAATGGTTCATTATCATGATGTGAAATTGATTTAAAATGAATTGGATAAACACGAAGTATATTATCCATTGACCAAGTAAGTAAATGTACATTTTCTAAGTATAAATGTAAAAGAAACAAAATAAATTAAGCAAATTTATTATTACTGTGTAAGACAAATAAATTCTGGTAAGTAGTTTGATTTGGATTCAATTCTTAAATTAGTAATCTACAACATAAGATAAATGCTAAAGGGGAGTGCTGTAAATGAAGCACTCTCAGAGAGATTTAAGTTAATAAATTTAATTTAATAACAAACAAAACTATTAACCTGCTTTGAAATCGATTGCTAGAGTTTAAGTAAGAAATTGTAACTAGAGGATAGTATATCCATTTTAGAAACAAAATAGTATTTGCTATGTGATATTGTGAATTGATTGAATCCAGAAATATGGATAACTGAATGTAAACTTATTTGTTTAAGTAAATTATGTTCATCATAAGATTTGAATGTCTTAAGTTCTACTGTATATTGGTAATATTCATAGATGTGAACCGATAGTGAAACACAACTGAAACGAAACAGCTTTTTCAAATGATATCACTTAATAGTAAAACTTGTCAACAAAATGCAAATAATTTTCCTTGAAAAAGCTTGGACCAGATTGCCAGGCGAAACGTTGGATTTACTTCAAATTCTTTCGCTGAGATTTTACAAATACCTTCTTCCCCATTAATGTCTCACATTAACTCGGCGCCCAAAAATTGTGGAAATGCAAATAGTCTTTGTAAATTACAAAGTAAACAAAAATATAAACGTCATAAACAGAGAAGAGAATCAAAAGGAATAAAATGATTTATATTGGGTATCGAAAGAAATAATGAGGAAAATTAAAGTGCTTGACGTTTGAAAAAAAACAACGGTACGAATTAGAAGGATAACAGTGAAGCAAAAAAAAGAAATAGTAACCCAATCAAAAACTATAATTACAATGTAGCTACATGATTTGTTAAAAAGGATGGTTCTTTTTAAGTTGACATGATTCTTGTCAAATATACACTTAGCTTGTCCTTATTTTCTAAATACTTTATGTACAGTTCTTTTTTATACTGCGTTTAAAAAAATATGTACTATGTGTTTGAATAAATAGACTGGATAATAAGATTGCATAAATGGTAACAGTAGTGATTATCCATTGATTAATTGCATAGGGCTCCATTAAGAAGCATGTCTCGAAAGATAGATATAAATATTTATGAAGTGAATAGTAATTAATTAACTATTATCAATACAGTTAATCATATCTGTTAGAATGATTGTTATATTGTTGCTTTTTTAAAAACTACAACAATTAGAAGAAAAAATTCAAAGTGATCCATTAAAACAATGAAAATTAATCAACTAAAAAAAGGAACATCTACACTTTATTTGAAATTAAATTGACTTTTGATAAATCAAGAAGAAAAAACAAATCATCAAAATTTAATTATATCGATGACATTTAGTTATTACAAATGAAAATTTCAACTAAACTACTTGTTGGGAACAGTTACAGAATACTTCTGATTATTAATGTTAACTTGGTCTTGAACAATTGTTGCTTAATGCCTTATTTCTTTTATTTTTGGTTTTGATGAAAAACATAATTTTATCAATATTGTAGTATCAGATGTGTTTTGTGGATATTATAGTAATTTCAATGGTTGAGATCAAGAGTCAGTTGAAGCTAGATTACCATGGAAAACCTGGGAGCACTGGACGGCCGTTTCGTCCTATTGTGGGACTCCTCAGCAGTGCGCATCCACGACCTGCGAGATTCGAACCCAGGACCTACTGGTTTCGCGCGCGAGCACTTAACCACTAGACCAATGAGCCGGTACCCAACGGTGTTAATGTCTAACTTCAACTAGTAGTAATTAATAAGGTTACAGTTTGATAATCTATAATTTCAAGTTAGTTATAATAATCAGACAATATTGCTCAGATTAGTTAAAACCATGTTTTAATATTTACCGAATTAAAATAAATTTTTATATATGAAACAAATAAAACTTTAAACAATAAAGAGAAACATTAATAAGTTTGATAATGGAACTTACAAATGAGTACTCAAGTGGAAACTGTCAACTACATTAAACATATGTAGCTAAACGAAAGTATAAAAATTAACCTTAGATGTTAAAGAACGATCGTTTACACTCTACCTATATTTGTGCCACATGAAACAGTACATAGAGTTGAAGGTAAATGAATTTCAGAAAATCATACAGAAGACTTTAGTAAAGGATTTTCAACCTACACTAAAGCTGTGGAATCAATAAACTATTTTTATTCACAGGCAATGTCAAGTATACCACACAGTAAAGCATTCTATACTAATGTGTGACTGAGACATGATAGTTGACGTTGAACGAATAAAGATTACATTTGCGAAATATTCTTTGGACTTGAGTGAATAACTAATGTTATAAGAACATTCAATAGGAACTGGTAGTATTCTCACAGCCAAGAATGTTTTCGTGTGAAGTTGTGAATACACAATGATTGAGTCAGGTGATATGTGTTTTATATGTGTATCTACACTCTAAATTCAAATAATAAATAAAGCAAAATGGACCTATCATGGATAGAGTTTCAGTAAGATGAAATTGTACCAATTCACGAAATGAATGGAACTGGTAAACGATCATTTTAATAGACGGCGTTCAATCAAAGGCATAAAGCGCTGTTTGTTGAAAAAGCCAACCATTAAATTAGAGTGAATTCGTAATATTAAATGATAAAGTGGTTGAAACATTCGAGTTTTAAACAGTAGGGCGAAGATTGAGAATAACTTTCCAGCAGTTCGGATTGGATAGCCTTGAAATCCAAAGCGCAAACAAAGCCTAGTGCACAAGAATGTATACTAAAGTATATAAAAATTGTGATTTGATTATTGCTTAACATATACACATATCAGATAAAAAAGAATAGGACAACCTAAAACATAGATGTAAAAAGAAAATGAGATATTCCTTCACACTAGATAACTGTAAACAATAAAAAAACTATTAACGTTAAAAATTTTCAATATTCTATCTAACAACATTTTATAACTCTCTTGATTGATTATCAATAACTTGAAACATTTTCCAGTGTAAAGAAGAGAAAAACAAAGTACACACTAACCGTTAAATTGAGTAGAATAGTCGAAACCGCATAAAAAATTACTGCAGCATAAGGCCAAAATGATATATATATATATATATATATATATATATATATATATATATATATATGTATATGTATATACTGTTAACTCAGCTATAAATAAAAACGACATTTCATGACGTATTAAAATACAACTACTCATATTTCTAGACCCTATTTTTCAATTATTGCTTAAATTGTCAGTATGGGGGTTGCAGAGATTATTAAGTTTTTGATTGAGATCATAAACCGATTGATGTTAGTCCACCATTGAGAACCTGGAAGCACTAGACGGCCGTTTCGTCCTTTTGTAGAGCTCCTCACCTCAGCAGTACGCATCCACAATCGCGCTCGCGGGATTCGAACCCAGAGACTTCGGTCTCGCGCGAAAACTTTTAACCTACTGGATGATTACATATATGTAGTGCATATTGAGTCACATTAAAATTATGGGGGAATAAGAAACAGATTTACCATTTCCATCATATGAACAGTAAAGAAAACAGTAACAATAAAACTACTATGAACACCATTTTGATAACATAAACAGAAGAAATTAATAACAACTACAAAAATGATATAAAACGATTTATTTATTTATTGACGTACTTTTAGGACAATATTCTAAATTTTGATTTGCTGTCGATATTTCATTATCCAGAATAAAATTTGTCGTTAATTCATGATCATCTGTCGTTGTCAGTGGAGAAAATGGGAGATTTGAAGAGGAGCATATCAACCAATTCATATCTAATATATATGAATCTGTAGAACGTGGTTGACAAATCTGCTGATCATTTATGTGATTATTATTACTATTACCATTATTATTATTGTTTGAATTCACTATACTATTAGCAGACGTTTTATTGACAGTAATTTCATTGTTATTAGTGTCACTATTATCATGGCTTTCCATTACTTGGAATAAATCATGAGATTGTGTCAAACCAGCACTAGACCACACAGATATCCCGTGAACTGACCAATGAGACTGCTCCGGTAAAATAATAATATGATCACCTGAAGGCTAGAAAAAAGAATACATAGAAGTATTAGTAATAGTAACAATCATAACAATAATTTTAATATGTATAATATAAATAAAATAAGAAAAAGTATGAATAAAAACTTGATAAAAAAGCTCTAACTCAGGGTAAAATAAAAAATGGTGGAGACTATACATAAAACAGCAGGTATTATATTATTTAAAACAAGAATGGTCCATTGTGAACATGTGATTTACAGATTTGTAGCTAGGTAAAAGCTATTATACTCGGTTTTGAACCAAACATTATATGGATGTCAAAAATGAAGTGGTTGGATATTGATTTAAAGCACTACCTAAACTGTTGACAGTCCTGTACTTCAACCTTCAAGTCATCGCACAACTAATGGGTATCATATAAGCTTATATGGTTGATATTCACACAGGGTGCAACACTCTCAAGCAAACTCTTTATAAACAAGTGGTATAGTAAGTTTCTACAACTGTAAAGGAACAATAAACAAATATTTACATGATCGCAAAGTTCTGAAAAGCTCTTATTTCATACTTCATGAATTTAATCGTAACCAATACTCCACTTGTCTAAAATCAATTCTCATTCGTGAACTTTATGAGAAGTATTTGCTATAAATTCACTAAAGTTAGTATCAATCAAAACTAGGGAGCACTGGATCGATGTTTCGTCTCAGAATCTATCAGTCATGTAATATCATTAGACTTCATACAACAGATGTTCATCGTGAAACTACAAACAATACGGACGACAAATAAAGTAATTAGTAAATTATAAACTTACAGTGTAAATTACTTTCTTCAGTTTTATTTCATGAAATCGGACCTTTTTCAGAGGATATGAAGGATTTTCAGTATCCCATAGACGCATTTCAGAATATTCACTGACTGTCACCATCTGATTGACATTCTGAGGCGACCAATCGAAATCACGAACGTGATCAGCTTGTACAGAGATGTACTGTTCTGGAACATTAGACTGAGTTTAAAATGCATAGGAAAAATGGTAAAAATAGTTAACAAACCGTTTAAATAATAAATTATTGTACGGAACATATTAACTGTATACAAACTAATCCTGTACATAGGTATTCAGGTCTGGGACTTCAGGATGGGAGATCAAACAACTCTGAACAAGTTCAAATTTTTACGCTTCAAAATAATGCAGAAAAAGTAAAACCTAATGGAAAGCTAACAGGAACGATATAGGTTGTTAACGAAAAAGGAACCCATGTTAATGGAATATATACGACTAAGAAAATGAAGAGTGAACATATTTGTGCCACTAGGTTTATTTTCGTTCAGTGAGACCCACAGTTTACAACCAATATTTTTCATAACTATTTTGACAGATGCATTCCAAGTAAAGACCGCAGTCAGACAAAGCTGTCTACTCTCTCCCTTCCTCTTTCTTCTGCTGGTCGACTGGATTATGAAGACCTCGACATCTGAGGGGAAACATGGAATACAATGGACAGCTCAGAATCAATAAGACGATTCGGACTTCGCAGATGACCTAACCCTCCTATCGCATACACATGAACAAATGCAGATAAAGACAGCCAGTGTAGCAGCAGTCTCTGCATCAGTAGGCCTCAGCATGCACAAGGGAAAACTAAGGTCCTCAAATTCAAAGCGGAAAACAGCAATCCAATCACACTTGATGGCGAAACTCTGGAAGATGTAGAATCCTTCACATACCTGGGAAGCAGCATCGATGAACAAGGAGGCTCAGATGCAGAAGTAAAGGCGAGAATTGGCAAAGCAAGAGCTGCATTCCTACAATTGAAGAACATATGGAACTCAAAACAACTTTCAACCAATATCAAAATCAGAATCTTCAATACAAACGTCAAGGCAGTTCCAATGTACGGAGCTGAAAAATGGAGAATCACAACAACCACTGTCAAGTAGGTACAAGTATTTACAAACAGCTGTCTACGCAAGATACTCAACATCCATTGGCCCGGTACCATCAGCAACAGCCTTCTGTGGGAGAGAACAAACCAGTTTCCAGCTGAAGAAGAAATTAGGAAAAGACGATGGAAATCGATAGGACATACATTACGCAAATCGTCAAACTGCATCACGAGGCAAGCTTTAACTTGGAATCCTGAAGCGAAGCGGAAAGGAGGAATGTCAAAGAACACATTTCGTCGGGAAATCGAAGCAGATATGAAAAGGATGAATAACAACTGGAAGGAGCTAGGAAGGATTGCCCAGTACAGGGTTGGATAGCGAATGCTGGTGAGCGGCCTATGTTCCTTCATAAGGAGTAACAGGCGTAAGTAAGTAAGTAAGTATTTTGTCATCCTTAAAACACTATCCAGTCTAGGAATTAGTGGTGTTTTGGACCAACCAAATTCATGTATGTCGAAGTAGACAGTGACTTGATACGCATTACAAACAATCTCTACTTGTGAGGACTGACAACCTCACTGGTTGGATAAATCTCCTGTCTTCGCACCGAGCTTCAATACTATTCAATCAATAAATCCACCACATACGAGAAATCCTTCAGTCACCTACGATCTAGCAGCCAACAGATATATCAACATAGAAGAATTTTTAAAATGAGATTTAAATAAAGCATTTCTGACTATATTTACCCGCAAATCCCAAGTACGAACACCCGATGAGTGACAGGTTGCAAATTTTTCACTTAAAAATCTATTCCATTTGACAATAATTGGTGAAGCTGAGAATACAAACAACAATAATTATCGAATTACTAAATTAACAAAATGTATCAAAATGTGATAAACTTCATTGAGAAACATTCAGATGGAGGACAGAATGATCATTTAAACTTTGAACTCCTTATCAACATGTGTACACGACTGCGTACATGATAAATTCAGGACCTTGTTGTCTCGCATTAAATGTTATACCTTTAGGCTAATTGTTAAAAATACAATGATCCGAATTTTCAACTTCCTTAAATTCATAATACAAAGTGACTATAATTCCGTGACGCTTATGAACAATTGCTTTATTCATGTATTTGTTTGGTAGCAAATCTTGTAAGCGAAATTTATTTTAATTCATTTTTGTATTGGTTGTTTAAATCTTCCCATTGATGTTTAGAACTGCAATTGATCAGTCTCTTCTTGACATATGTGTATCCTGTGCGGATTGCTTCGGTTTTGCCTTAAATCATAAGCATTATAAGCATAAATTCAAACAACTAACACAAAAATGAATTGAAAGTTCACCCGATTGAACAAGCTAGTGAGTATCAAAATTCAGTAGCTAAGTGGATATTGCGATGCCCTTTGAAGTGAACAGTACTGGGTTCGAGTTCTAGAGTGAATATCATCTCTGGAATGAAGGTACATAAAGTTGATGAGTCCCAAATAGGACAAATCGCGCGTCCTAGATTCCACTGTTAGCTACCATCCATCTCTGCTTAGTAAATTATTTTTTTTACCGAATCTGTTTGTTCTTGTGACCTACATCCCAGAGAATGAGGAAAAACTTTACAGCGTAGTCAACATAGTCAATTCATACTATTTCTATCTTAAATATCGATATATGTGAGTCTGCAAGCATAAACTATTCGTATGCTAATTTTCTAAATGATAATAAGGTTGGTGATAAATAAAACCATAAGAAATTATACAGATTGCATGAATAGCTGCTTTCTCAGAAAAGTAATTTTATATCTTTTTTAGTTATTCCTATTTTATAATGTCCAGTTAATGATAAAATAAATAATATTCACTGGGATTGTCTCGAGTGATAAGTGTTCGGAGATGGTACTTTATTGTTTGATTCCGTCAAATCTTTCAAAAACATAGTGGATCGAGTTGTCATTACTATTTACCAGTACTCTTCTTGAATAAAACACAGCACATTATGTTTTCCAAACTAATCCGAACAGTTATGATGCAATCAGAATTCTAAAATGATTATAAATCAGTCAGTCTTTTTGAGGGTTGAAAGAGTTAAAATGCTTCGAATAAAAAACTGAACAAAGACGAATATAAGAATGTGAACTCTCGACAAAGCGAAACCTGTACAATACCTATATATTTTGTACAAACAATATTTTTTAAACAGAATAGCTTGACAAAATAATAAGTTCATTTTATTAAAAGGCCTCTCATGATATATACAAAAGATCACAAATTACAACGATTATGTTAAACATCAACTAAATTGAACAGTAATTGAATTTCAAAATCTATGGTAGATTAACGAGTTAAGCAAATAAAGAAATTATATATTTGGACAGTTATTCGCGGAGATTATGTGTTCTTTAAAATTAATTTTCACTACAGTCGGGCGGTTAGTCCAAGTTGTCTAGCCACAGCAGCACGATGACATCAAATGAGCACGATAAGTAGCAAACGAATTGTAGTAACGTAGTTGAAATGATAACGAGAAAGACTGAGAATTAGGAATATGGTACTAAAGGGTAGAATGAATAGGTACCTACGAAGGAATACTGAGACTCAAGATTTAGAGCACGATAACAAGCGGATGCATTTTCGATGCTCTGACCGGTTCTGATCCATGTTCCTTAAAATCTCTAACCTACTGGCCGTGGTTATCGCGATGAGACCAAACAGGTAATCCACATTTTTCAACATGGATCAGAACAACAGCTATCTTTTTTGTGGATTTATATTTGCTGGAGAACTAATTAAAATCAACTGATTCAATCTGGACAGGGATACCTCATATGCTTGCACATACGAAGATAAAAATGTAGAAAACTGGATTCTGTTTCGCTGACACCCTCAACACAAAAGGTTCTGGGTGTGAAACAGTGAATGGTTCTGAGTTAATTTATGAGTTTAATGAAATAAACATACAAATTTTCTAATCATATTCATATAATCATGGAATGTGTTCATTTTCGTATACGAAAATTTGATAATTACGTTTGAAAGGAAAAAAAATCTCAGAAAAGAGCTGTTATCATTGTTATTATTATCAGTTATAATTATAATAAGCACCCATGTAGTATTAATTTTTAAAAAAAGTAAGGAATGTTAAAAAAATGTGAAAATTAGTTAAACTCAGTAAGTTGAAACCTATGAATGTAAACTGATTTCGCATATCATAATTTTTCATTCCTTTACGTAATGTCTCATTGTTTTTAGAGAATATTGTAATTATAAATATTGATATGGACATTTCTAGCTAATCATGTATAAATAAATAATAGTTTTATTAATTAAATTATGGCTTAATAACGTGTATTAATTTGACTCGATGGGTATATAGTGAACTTTGAAATTCATTTTCTTTTATTATGGCATGTCATCATGTGATTGCTTGCAGAAAAGTTAAAGAGGTAATTCCAGGAGTTCCAGTGAGAAGCTGTAATTAGATAAACTACGTCTTGCTGGAAGTGAGACAAATATCAATAATAACAATGGATAATGGTCGTTTTGTACCTGTAATCGACTGGATTTATATACCTAAACCACTAAATACCAACTCACAGGTTTGAAAGTCAAGAGCCCAACGTAAGGCTTGAAGATTCTGGGTTCTATTATTAGTGTAGTTGTAGACGCGCAATTCTTAGTCCTCAATTAAGACGAAATAGTTGTTCATCCCTTTCTAGTTTTCAATGATTATCTAACTGAAGTGAGTTAATAATGTGATACTTCGAACTCAATCTTCATAACACTCTATAATGTCAATAGCTTAATTAATATGCATCGTAAGTGGTGTAATTCTGCGTTATTTAAGCATGGTAAGTTTATCCTACTAAATTTACATATTTCACAGGTTGAAATCATGAGTCAGTTGAAGCTAGACCACCATTGAAAACCTGGAAGCACTGGACGGCCGTTTCGTCCTGGTATGGGACTCCTCGGCAGTGCGCATCCACGATCCCGCACCACGAGGGGCTCGAACCCAGGACCTACTGGCTTCGCGCGCGAGCACTTAACCACTAGACCACTGAGCCGGCATCCAACGGTGTTAATGTCTAACTTCAACTGACTCATGATTTCAACCTGTGAAATTTCTAAAAACTCTCCACAAAACCCATTCTGAAAATTTATATATCTTACGAAGGCGTACCTCTTTTGTAAAATAATAATACCGAATATTAATCATTAAGGATAGTAGCTTTAAATCTATTTATACATAAAACTACAATTTCATTGAATGTCCAGAAGTTCTATTGAATAAATATAAAAAAATCAAATTAGAAACTAAAAATAAAAGATGCAATTGAATCAAGAAAAAAAAATGAGATAGAAATAAAAAGAACTAACTTCAAAATAGAAATAAAAATAATGATAAATATGAATAATCGAAACAGGAATTTAATTTATGCATATAGATGATTCATCCACTCAATTTTTAGTGAACAAAATTCAAACAGATTTTTATACTGAATCAGAAAGAAAGAGAGAGAGAGAGAGAGAGAGAAGAAGAACATTGTAGACAGGCAGATAGGCAGGCAAGTATGTAGGTAAAAAGAAGTTGGGAATAATCAGTAGACAACAAAAAAAATAAATATAGCAAAATGAGTTTCCAAAAGGAAAACATGGAAGGCAAAGATATAAGTGTAATAATTTGTTTATATGATACATGGGGGTCATATATTTCTCTTTATTATTGTTCATTTTTTAAACAGAAATATTATTGTTTCACCTAATCATAATATTATATAAATGTTATCTTATTTCAATAATGATGTCTATTTCATTTTTCTCCATTATTATTATGAATAGTATGTAGAATTAGCAATAGTAATCTATAATAAAACAGAAACTAGTTTATACATGTTTCAAAGAGATAGAAAAGAAAGAAAAAAAAGGTGAACACATTTTTATCTGATGTGTCATTGTATAAAAGTAAAAACAGCAACAACAACAACAACAACAATAAATTGCCTACAGAGAAAAGTATAATGAATTAAAGTAGCGTAAATAGAGAAATTGTAAAAAGAAACAACGAACAAACAAACAAATAAGCAAACAAATAATTGATCTTTATCTCTTTTTATTCTGTAATATTCATGATAATAATGATAGTTTTATTGTAGATTGTTTAAATAAATTGATAGTTATAAAATTAAACAAATACAATATAAGTCAAGGTATTTCAACCTGTTAGTATTATACATTGAATAAAGAGTTAATTTCAAGTATGAGAATATAGTTTCCCAAAGAATTATGCTCTGGTTAATTAGATTTTTTGATCATTTATCATACTAATTAATCAAGACTTTTATTCAGTTTAATTAATGGATTATAGAAGATGAAATCCTTCTGAATATAAGAAATGCAATATTAAAAGAACGAGAGTAAAGTGTCTTAAATTACAGTGAACATCATATAGAAGATTAAGATTACTACCGAAAAGTATTTTGTAAACCTCATGTGCTAGATAAGTACAGAAACAAGTTGAAATCGTTTTAAACTGGACGACGGTTTTCAACGACATCAAATAATAATATCTGAAATCTGTTTCAATTCTTAAAAAACTCCTTATTAAATTGAATAATGGATAAGTGATAGACTTACAAAGAGATTCCATAGATCGAACTGGTCGTGACATATCCCTTAAATCCCAAACACAAATGGCACGGAACTGATCTGCGGATGTAGTAGCTATAAGAAATGGATGAACTGGACTCCAATCCAGTGAATTGATGACACGAACATATCCACCCAGACTAGTGTTTGTACTTAATCGACATTCATTGACATCCCAAAGAAGAAGTTCACATTTATTAGAACGCTAAAGAAATATTGAGAAATCAAAGACACCAACATATTTAACAGTACACAAAGCATCTTAAGTAAACAGCCACAGATTTATGTAATCATGTATATAAAAAAATGTTCAGATATAAGCAGTGAAACAGTTTATTATGAAACGGTGACTATAGTATTACAGTTACTAATGGTCGTTACGTAGCTATGTAGAAAAGAACTATATAATTGCAGTATATCTTTTTATAAATAAACACGAAAAACAAAAAATATTTGCCCAAACTTTTGAAAAAATAAGTTACGTCATTGGGAAATAGTTTAAATGATAAGCACATGGACCATTAAGGCATTAGTCAATTATGGACAATTAAGGACCTGGGACGAATAAGTACTGATCCAGGTTGTAAAATCTCGTATAATAGAAATCAGAAATTAGTAAGATGAAAAGCGTAGTTTTTGGTGGAGTTTTGTTCTCTGAGCTGGATGGTTTGGTCGAGGAGCTTTCATAGTTATTCCGAACGACATCATCAGCACAAACTTCAGGTAGAAGTGAAGTGTTTGGAGAAGCATAGTAAAGGAATTAGTAACAAATGAAGTCAAAAACTAAGGACAAAATGTATGGTTTAAAAGGGGTAAATGAGGATGTAAGCATGGAATAACACTAAACTCAAGATTTAGAGAAAGATGGAGAACGGATGCAAATGCACCGCTGCTGCAAGATTTAAGTCATATAACCAAATATATCCAACCAAAGATTACCTTGGTCGTGAAAAGGCCAAATAAAAAATCTGCGCGTACCTAAGCGAGAAGTGACCAAATCCAAAACATAACATATGTTTCATATTACCGAGTATTCAAATTGACATTTGACAGTAAACAAAACACACAATAAACTATTTGATTTAAAAAATTGGATAGAAGGTAAACAGCTATGACTTACTGCAATTGCAAGTTTTGTATGATCGTTTGGATGCCAAGCAAGTCCAGAGCATCCTAACTTTGAAGGTAAGGAAAATGCACTGTACTGTGAAGGATGTTTCAATGGGCATATTACAAGTTCATCAGTTCTAGATAATAAATAAAAACAACAAATAGTATTTGTACAACATTAATAAAGTTATACGAATTTGTCATGGTTTAAACATAATTTGAACAATGAGGTTAAATTAGCAAAAGGTAATCCAAATTCACACTCTATATTTCTTTATACATCACCATTGTCGATTTAATACAATATGCTTTAAAAAACTACAAAACAACTGTACTCATTCATTGGGCAGTGAAAATCTTTCTTCAATTGTTACTTTTAATCACAATTAGTGAATAAAAGGAGTTAAATTTGTCAGCAGATAATTTAGTCCTAGCAGATTGTTTCATATTGAAACTAGAAAACAACCAATTTAACTCGGTAATCGATTGATCTAACCTGAACAAAAGATATAAAGACGACACTTTTATCATTTTCAACGAAAATATTGAATTAATTGACATTTTGAGTTCTTTCAATACATACTATACTTTCCTAGACTTTACTTTAGAAAATGAATCAGGCCATTTTATCTCACTTCACGATATGCTTCTGACAAAGTGTGATGAAACCTTAAAAAGGTTCATTTACAGAAAACAAACATGGAATGCCCAACTAACCAACTTCTATAGCTGTGTTCCATTAAGTAGAAAAAGAAATCTTATTCGGTACTTGTGTTACCAGATAAATACGATCTATGGTACTAAATGCACTGAAAACTTGAGTTTCTCAGAAAAACGATGGCTGAAGTCGGTTATCCAAGCCGCTTTGTAGAGAACACGAAGGAAATTCGGAGCAAGGAATCTGGAAATTCTGTCCTAAAGAAATATTTTTGTATGAATCCGGAATTTAAGGGCGACCGAAATTCTGATGCATTTGAAAATCGGCTATCGGTAGATGTGCGATAAAGCTGAGACTAAAGTTTACTAGTAGAAATTTGTCTACCGTGTGCGTTAAGGTTAAGTTCCCACATCTAGTTGCTCCTATGTGCATCTACCAGTTCACTTGCTCTTGTGGAGCAAGGTACATAGGTTGCAGCCAGCGCTCGCTTTTAACTCATACGATAACATGTTCCAGTGTGATTCTATAAAGGTGAGAGAAAAGAGTTAAGAGTTCTGTTCAGGAATATTCAATCTTTAGTGGCCCTATATTTAAATGCCAAGTAAACTGGATAATGATGTTATCGATGGGCCCACCACTTTTAGTGTGACTCTTTATCTGACTTCAATTAAATCGTATTATGATTGACGTAGAAATACACATCCCTGATACCCTCGGTATAATCATTGACTTCACTCGCGTTAGTGAATAATGGAATTGAAAGAGTCAAATACGAGGAGTGGTTTCGAATATGTATATTTCACACAATCGTTGATCCAGACAGACGATCAGAGAAATGAAGCGGAGAAAGCGAAGAGGAAGGAGGGAAGCGAAACGAAACGACGCTCAGAGGAGAAGGCAACTGAGACAACCCAATTTTGATCAAGCGAGATTCAACATTCATATTCGGACAAAAATAAATTACAGACGCTTGATGAATAGGGTAAGTAATTAACACATATACGATCATATAAAAAAAGTCAGGATTAATAAGCGAATAAATGACAAGGTCAAAATGTAGCTTGAGAAGAATGAATAAGCTAGTTTTTCCAGAAGTTCGAATAGCCTATGTGGGTTTGACATGATACCAGCCACTACAAGTCGATCCTAGCTACGCCATTGATCCACAGGCTGATTATTTTTAGGTTGCTTATATAATTCGTCCATAACTACCAAGATTTCTTCATTCACAACTTCTTAAAACAACAGATCTTACCTTCCATGAAATGAAGACATAAATATATGCACAAAAAATGTACGCCCTGTTCTTAAATTTACTATGGCCTTAATCCATCATTATTATCACCTTTCACAAGCTAATAGCTATCAGGACTCAGTAGCTAAGTGGATATTGCGATGCCCTTTGAAGTGAACGGTACCAGGATGAACATCAATTCTGGGATGCAGGTACATACAGTTGATGAGTCCCAAATAGGACGAAGTGAGCTTTCTATATTCCATTGCTAGCCACTATCCATATCTGCTTATAATGCTTGTGAATCAAGGTAATATCGAGGAAATCCGCACAGGATTCACGTATGTCAATAAGACACTGATCAAATGCGGTCCTAAACATCAACGAGAAGATTTGAACAAACAATACAAAAATGAATTGTAATTATTATCTTTTTTTCATTTCATATTAGAAAATATCCCCCTATGATTAATTATTTCTCACATTCTCATGACTCAATTCATAATTGTTTCAGACATCATTTCATTTAACCCCTCTATTACCTTTAATTATTGTAACGAAAACATTTTAATTATTTTATTCCATCCACATTATAATCCACTGTTAATGTATGAATAATACAAGGCATTTTATTTCCACACACAATCGTGTAATTATTGGCACTAAGTAATCTAGTATTATAACTTTCCCATTATATATATATATATATATATATATATATATATATATATATATATATATATATATAACTCACCCACATAATGCAACACAACGTCCTATAGGATCAACAGCAATTTGTGAGATCTATAATAATGATAATAATAATAATAATGGCGAAATACACAAGATTAATTAACATTTTGGAGCATTTAATTAAATATTAACATCCTATATACGAATGAAGCAGTTCTCAAGTTATATTTTGAGCACAAACACCTAACTAAGATGTCATCAATAAACTTACACAAATGTAAACTTGTGTTAATTTAATTCGGCTATTTATCCACTCTGAAGAAGTGGCTTACATAATAAGTTACGAAACGTCAGAAATACAACTCTTCTACTCATTGGGTTATAGCAAAAAGTATATTTATAATCAGGAAATCTTATGTAAAAGATACAAGTGAGATCATCGCTGATCACTTTTTTATACCAATAATCTAGTAAGTAATGGTTTCTAAAGTAGATAGTGGTCGATTGTATATCAGTCGTCATAATTTACGCACATAGACGACATAATCAAATAATTTGCTGTTGTCACTTAAAAAGTTGTACTTCGGAATATTCACCAAAAGTGATTATGTCCATCAAAGCAATCGCTTATCAAGTTACTTATGAAAGCTTATGAACAAGTCAGACTAATTTCAAATTGGTAACAAATAAAGAAGTCATTAGCAAATCATCTCAAGAGACAATAAAATATGACATACCTGGAACCCTTTTAATTCCAATAAACTTGTATTATGGTTAGTCTACAAATTGAGATAAACATATGCATATGTATTAAATATGTAACAAACTATAAATAAGATCTGAAAAATATATCACTAAAATGACTAAAAATATACAGAGGATGAACGTTAACTTGAACAATCGGACTAGCAATAGATCAGAATACCAGAAATTGAAGTTCATATCGGTAGAACAGTTAGTACAGATAAAGTTAAATTCAGCGAAAGTGACGATGAGTCATTTGTAGGACAGTCTTCAAGCTAAAATTCCAAGTTTATAACCTCTAATATTACTAGGTAGTCTGTATACACAAAGACAAACAATAGAACGGTTCAACGGTGCAGGTATTTACTTTTCATAAAATGTACTGATAAATTCAAATTTGATACACCAACTATTGCCCTACAAAAGTCCAATGGGGTTTTTGATGGAGACAGTAACACTTAAACTGTTTTTGGAGCTATAATAGGTTCATGCTAATTACTTTCTATCAATTTTTCATACATTCATCTATCTATTACATAAAATCCCAACGTATATTACTGCTATATAAATATTAGGATGATTATTTCAGTCATTTGAATTATATACCAAGTACAGGTTTATGTGATTGCTAACGAACCATCATTTCCGTGTACAAAAGCTGATGATACTATATGGTTGAACGGATAAAAGTATATGGAATAGGATCCAGACCCGAGACCTATTTGTTAAATAGTAAGAAGCTACCACCCCACTAAGTTGATTTCTTGAAGCAAACTAAAACCACAGATAAACGTGCACGAGCTGTTTCTAAGATCACTAACACGATATACAACTTAGTAGTTATTTATGAATTAATACACCTCACCCTATATGAATTAAAATAAAACACATAAGACTACGAAAGTCTACAAGCCTAGATAAATTATTATGTATATAGTTCTATGAAGCGCCATTTTCAAACAAAGCTACCGTTTTATCAAGTTATAATAAGTACACCCAACTTTCGTTCAATATTCTCTGCAATGCATCTAAGATACTGTCATAACGTAAAGAAACTGATAATCATGAATAGATAGTTGAATAGCTAAGTTCCTCACTCGCATCATTTAGGACAATCTGAAATAACTTCCCATGACAAAAAAGCAAATAAAACTCAAGATATGACACAGACTAGCTACCAAAAATATCACAGTTGTGACTTAACTGGTGAATCAACATATGCACTTCTTTGAAAATACGAATAAATTATAGACAGTATAATGGTGTCTTAAATGCTACATTCTTAAGCTTTTATTTAACACTTATAGTAAGTGGTAACAAATGAGGTGAAGTTGATTTGAATCAATCATGAAATGATAGACAATCGAGTACATGAACCACTACTAGACGACAGTTCCAAGTTTGAAAAAGTATAATTTAATACAAAGGACCGTTAGAATACTGAGATAAACTGTCTAATAACATAACACATTCAACCAGATCCAATCTGTAATTACTGTCATATACATTACAATTTATAAAGGACGAACAAAAGTCAAGTTAACAGTAAGCAATAGAAGACACTAGCGCTAGAACTTTAAAACATCATATTCCTCTTATTAATAAGTCAGCAATCAGGGCATCAACAAAAATTCAAATAAGGCGCAAAACAATACAACATGGTGTGTATTAAGATAGCATTGTAATAACATTAGAACTATACATTTATGTATAAAAACTTTACAAATATATACGTATATGGGAAAAGTGAAAAACAAAAACAATAAACGACAATAGAGGAAGAACAAAGAAGATTATTAGTTGAGATCAATCATACTACATAAAATAATTTTGCATTATATTAAAAACAACAAAATATGATAAACAGGATCAAGTGTGTTCCGAATAATAATAATAATAATAATAATAATAATAATAATAATAATAATAATAATAATAATAATAATGGTAAAAATAGTAATAGAAACTTCTGAAAAAAACCTGGTAGAGTGAAATAAACGAAGAATTTTTAACATTATAATTGGTAGCTAAACAATAAACATTCTAATTGGAGACCATAAATATGTGCACAGCACATTGCCTTCGTTGAATGTGAAATGTGGACAAAAACAAAGAGGAAAGTTAAAAATACAGAAATATAATACACCTACATGAATATTCACATATTTGACTTAAAAAAAATTGATAATATATGTACATTTACAACACGGTAAATATCGAATAAATAAAAAGTGTAATTGTTACAGTACGTGTATAAAGTATTAAAGGCACTAAAGAGTGACTTCCTTCATTGATAGATATTTCTTATTTGATACATACAACAACAAGATATGACAGGTTTGCATTAAATACATTTCATACATAGCAGACATTAGACCATATTTAGTGCATCATTTTAATATTTTAGTATTTTAAGTAGAATCTCTCGATGAAATATAATGATTAGTTACTTTCTTTAAAAAAACGGTAGTAAAGGAAACAAATTAGACAATTTTATACAATCAGAGTAAAAACTTTCATCACACGAAAATAATTCCTAGAAAAAGAAACAAAACAGAAGAGAAATTAATTAGCTAGACATTTCTAAGGCAGTAGCTCCACTGCTATCTGTCATTGCACTGGTGTTTTTAGATTCTGTTGATAAACGTGGATGTGTCTGGGATATAGATACAGAGCAAGTAGAATCTTTATGATCTGGTGATGAATGTATTTTTGGTTCATCATCAGGAAAAGTGTAATGATTAGTAGAGATGCTACAATTGATATTACTGGAAAAAGAACTCTTATTGTAGACAACTTTTTCGTTTGCCATTATAGACTCTTCATACTCTTGTCCATTTTGCAGTCGCTGTTTACAATTAGACTTCGGTAATTCTTCAAATCGTTGACGTTTTTGTGGTTTTAAGTTTGCATCCAATTGACTAGAAAACTTCTTGAATCGTTTTGATGATTTTTTGGATTTTGTTACATTAGCGACATACTTGTCGCTGCCACTACGTAAGGAACGGTAACTAGTAGGAGACATTAAAGAGTTTATTTCTTTTGATATTCTACATTTTGACTGACAACCACGTGGAAGAGAGGATAAACCTATGCAATTACCGCGACTAGAACCACTAGTCAGTTTCTTTCGCTTTAAAGGTGACATAGAGGAAGTACAGCGTAATCTATCTTCTCGGTGACTTCGGCGGCTCTGAGATGAACAAGATGAATTCAAAGAGACAGTTCGTAAAACGGACCGCCTGGATTGTTTGGTTTCACGAGAGCAGAGCTTTGGTTCTGTAGATAAGCTAGCTTTAGGAATGTTTTCTTCTTCTTCACACTCATCATCACCATCATGAGCGGCTTGTTCAGCCTCAAGAGCAGCTTGTTCTTTTTTTACATCAAACAGGCAAGGACCAATTGAGTTAGGTGGTGAGCTTGCTCTGCTTAGTGTGTTGCCTCCTGCAGAACTGGATGCAGGTGAGTACGATCTACAAGGGCGCATAGGCTCCTCAACTGGTGATGGACCAGATCTTGTCATACCAAAACTAGGCTTTGATGGATATTCGGAAATTTTGGGAGGCTTAATATCAATTGGATCGTTAAACTCGTACTCCGAAAGATGGTGTGGCCGTGGGTTAATAGGCACATTGGTCAGTGAGTCTGTTGACGATATATCATCGGCTAAAGTATTCGGGTTGGGTCCGAAACCCTGAAAAACAAAACGGAAACCATTAAATACGTAATACCAACGATTAATTATGAATAGTATACGATATCAAGGGTATAAATCAATATTAACAGTTAGAAATACCATAAGTCATACATTAGTCTACGACCCCATGGCCGAAACAAAGGGAAACTATTAACAAACAAAAACCTAATGAGGCGACAATTAGTACAATGTTTCAGGATTAAGAAGATCATATGAAAACAGAGCCGAAGTACCAAAGACACCATTGCCTTACCCTAAAATATATTACGCAGATTTATGATGCTTAAGACAGCTATTAGTTTTTATATGTAAGGACGAGATAGTTGAAATTTCAAAACAAATAGTGTAAAAATATTGAATATCACAAAAAGGAGTGTCATTATGAGTTATCACACTTTGCAAGAACATACATTGAAAAAATCGATAAAACAGCGTTAAAGTAAATAATAGACGATTTTTGCATAATAAGATACTCAGAGTATAAGAAAAAAGGTTGAGGAACTATACATATGAAGGGCTGTCATGGATTTAACGCAAACTACAAATCATCTAGCAAGCAAATACTAACACTAGCCCGACCCCGCGGTTTGCCTTTTCCAAAAGTTCTGTTCTGTTTAAATGGTCTGGCCGATTTTCTGGGTGATCAACAAGTAGGATTTTTGGTGTACTTCAAAAAATGCCATTCATAACTCTAATGAAACACTAAAAATCCACCTGTTGTCGACTCGAAAAGTATGTCCCATGTGAGCATAACCAAGGATTGAGTGTCAACGGGGTGCGAAGTCGCACTTAACTTCAGTGAGGAGAAAGTCCTAACAGAGCAAGTTCTCATTACCGGTAGTTTATGTGCTGTAAGGTTAACAGGTTATATCAATGTGAAAAGAACTGACATCGGAAACTGTGCTATTTTGCAATCTACACATATGCTTCGATAAACTACAGCTCGGATACAATAAAGAATAAATTACATTAACAATTACATGACCTCAAAAAAAATGTTCAACGGATATAATGGTGCTAGCTGGGGACTGAGTGTAAAGATCAGACAATTACGAACAAAGAGTCGTTCCGATAAACAATCAGGAGTTACTGGTCGTAGGTTAATTATCCAGATCAAAACCCATTTCTGGTCAGCCCCAACTTTCATGAACCATTCCCAATATACTACCTGGCGTTTTCTCTCTCCTCTAATTAAGCCTGGACTCAAAGTGATCACGTTGCAACCACCAACTGGCGATGGTGTGGATGTGCAAAAGATTATCAACTATTTTAAGGAAACTACTTAGACTCTGGTATGCTCCAGAATGCACTTGAGTCATCTGTACATTTTGATGATCGTCAAACTTATCATAGTAAATAGATTAATTTCAGGACATTGGCTGCACTTACGATTAGATTCAAACATCCAAAACCGGTTTAATTATTTAATACCTGTTTCAAAAATGACGTCCTAGACGTTTTTATGCAGTACATTACTTAATAATCTTGAGTGAAGACAAATGGAAATTGGTACGTTTATGACTCGGTCTTATGAAACACAGGATATCTTTGTTAGGTAAGAACTCATTACTCTATCCTGAGTTCCTCAAAATGGTTTTAAAGACCATGCACACTAACGGTTTGAGATATCAGACATGCTCTAGAAAAGAATCCAGTGGATATACAGTTAGGAAGTTGGAAGAAATCAACTTGACACTCTGGACGTAAGTTTCGATTTAGGTGGCACTCATCAGTGACGGATATCTGAAGTCATGGTGGAAGTGATGCTTTTCGTGTGGTGATAAATAGCACTCCTCAGAGTCAAAATCTGGAGCGTTAACACTGGGCTCTAAGCACTGACTGGTTTCTCTCCCTCTAGTAGGGCTGAGATTATCACCTAGTATTTACCAATATACTAATGCTTTATTAGTTTTGTTTTATTATTCACAAAAGTAATAAACACTTTAACCGGACGTATTCTATCTTAGTTGTCTTCTTAATTGGACTGTATCTTTTTAGTAAATACTGTTTTTAAGTAACAACTTAAATCGATTAACATATGTTCCAGTTTTTACGTTGCGCATGACTGACTGGCTGATTAAAATATCATTCTTGATATTTATTGATTTTATTACCTCTCATTTTATTCTTGGTCTCCAATTATACCAAAGACTTGTATTCGTTATGAAATCAACAAAACAAGTGATATGGTATTTTTTTAAAAATTTTATAATTAAAAGCTGGACTCTCGTAGAAGCGCCAGTAGTGATAGTTGGCTAGTCAAACTGAAGTGGATGAAGTCCTATTTAAGCTTGCGATTCAATATTTGGAAGTCGGAAACTCGGACTAAGAAATGATAATGTGAAGATAATCAGATTTGGCAATAACAATCAAAAGACGTTAAGTAACTGTCGTCATATGAAAATCATA